CCAGAGGAGATAAAGCAGAGGGCCATCTTGCCCTTATTTACTATCATGACCTGCACTTTCTGTGTTTTCTGGTAACAGGAAGTAAGGAGTGGCAGAGTGCCCTGATCTACCCAAGGTCTTTGGAGAGGCCTGATCTGCTTAACATATTGCAGATTGTAGGCAACCATCCTGAGTGTAACATCTCAGAAAGATAGGTTAGTTATTCCTGTTTCCCTGGTAAGGCCAAGCTCATGAAATGCTGGGGTGATGGAGTTTATAAGCCTCAATAAATTGTTGCAAGAGCATTGCATGCTTCTCTCTGTCTCTCTTTCTCTCTTCCTCCCTTCCTCCCTCCCCCTACCTCTTTCTGTCTCTTTCTGAATTATAATCTGCTGAACATTTGAGAGTAAATTGCTGACCTTAAGACCCCTTGCTCCATAATATATTGTGTGTAGTTCTCATTAACACAGATGTTCTCTTAGAAGACTGCAACAGGATGAGAAATCAGGAAATTTGACATTGAAATAGAATTATTATATAATATTCAATCCACATTAAAATTTTATCTATTGTTTCACTTAATATCCTTTATCGCACTTTTTTTCTTTGCAATCCAAGATCATGTATTTCCTTTAGCTGTCATGTCTCCTTGGAGTGTGTTAATCTCAGTTGGATCTTCAGTTTTTCTTTGTCTTTCATGACTTTATTATTTTTGAGGAGCACAAGCAAGTTGCTTTTTAGGCTGTCCCCAAGTTTTGGTTTATATGATTGTTTCCTCATTATTAGATTTAGGTCATGGATTTTGAAGAGGGCTACCACGTAAGTAATGTTGAATGTTCTACTGCATAACATCAAGAGGTACTTGATGTTGGGTCATCCTATTACTGTTGAGATGAACATTGATCACTTGTTTAAGTTGTGTCCACCATGTTTGTCCACTGTAGATACTTTTTTGCCTTTTGTATTTATAAGTAATTTGTGAGGGCCTACTTTGAGACTGTGTTAAAATCCTGTTTTCCAATGCAATTTTACCCAATGGGTTTAGCATCTCTTAATGATTTTTCTGTGAATCAATGATTACTTTGGTGGGTGCAAGGTAATTGTTTTAACTGAACAAATTAATCTCAAAAAAAATTGTCCTAATGAGTTAACTATTTAAGCAGCATACTTTGAGTGAAGTCGCTCCTTACCCCAAACCCATTAGAATTGTTTCCAGAAGGAATTGATATCCTATGCTATCCTACCTAATCACAGTTCATTTAATGGCTTCATTTTTGTGGCTCCATGATGGGTACTACACGTTCAAATGCAAAACCACTTCAGCAGCTTAAATTCAATATAAACACTTTCATGATATAATATATATAATATAGATGGTAAGTCCTTGATATATAGACATTTTCCTCTTTGTTGATATAACACATACATATGAAAAGCTGTAAAATGTTTATAAACTTTTGACTTTTTGACTAGATTTCCATAAACAGCTCTGGTGCTTTATTTACAACTAACTAGAAATACTCATTTCTTATGACTTATTGCATTATACTAATAATTATGACATAATGAAATATAAAAATGTAGATACTCTACTTTTATGTTTCATCTCACTCTATTAACCCAAAATATTGAAGTATAGTATTTTATTGTAATAATCATAATCATAATGTATTAACTTATTTTGGATTGTTCTTTCTGGCGCTATCAAACTCTCTACCTCTTTCCTCTCATACTGTCCTTAATCCATTAAAACAGTCTATTCTTTAAGATTCGTACATTCATTTACTTGCATTTAGATGAAAGTCTGTTGGGGAATAGAGGATTTATAATCTTAAATCATCTTTCCTTAAATTACTTCTCTGCCTCCTCGAGGAGGCATTTATGAGAAGTTGTTGTAGAAACTGAGGGACAGAGAAATCCAATGATATCACATCTATGTTTTGGAAAATCACTGGGCTGATACCTTGGGAAAATTTGTAATGTAGTGGACAATAGAGTAGGTGTCTCAAATCAGCATCAAGCCCTAAGAGTCATCACAGAAACCTTGAAAGGGGAACCGGCTTGCTCGAGTCCCCTTCGGGACTTGACCAACAGAGCAAATGGTCAAGCTGCAAGCAGAATCAAAGCCTATAGGCTTCCTTTGAAGTCATGGCTTCTCTAAGTATTTTCTGTTGGCATAAAATAAGAATAGATGAGTATCCTTGAGTGATTCTTACGGAGTAAATTAAGCATGCACCTTAGACATGTGTCCTCAGGGAATCAGGGTGACTACACCAATACATTCTGGGAAGAGGCCCTCAATTGTTGGGTGAATGCAGTTTCTGGGCATCACAGTATCATTTCCATAAAATATTCAGCTTAAAAAGCCCAAGACTGAAAAGTGATTTAGAGCCTTGCTTCAACTCTTTGATAAATGTAAAGAATGATCCTTGAAGAGCACTGAATTTCTTATTGTTTCTGGTATGTAAAATTTCTGTCTCCAAAGAGATTGTTCGGTTCTCTAAACACAAAAGTGCTCCTGTAATTCCATTTACTGGAGCACCGAATATAGTGTTTTAGATATAAAACTGCTCTTTGAAGACCCAATTGTTGGAAAAAAGGAACTTGGGTCTTGAGCTCACATTTTCACTGCAGGGTAAATTGCTACAGGTCTTTATTTTACATGAAGTGGACTCTGGGAAGCCGAACGACAGTCTGGACTTAAAATTTTCCATCGAAGGGTTTGAAGCAGATGTTTGAGGTCCAGGCATGTGCCTTGGACCTTGAGCCAGGTTACTTGGGACACGCTCTCACAGTGCATGGCTCTGTGGCTCTGGTATGCTACCTAACTTTGGGGACCCGATTTCCTCATTTCCATCAATGAAATGAGCTGACTAAGTTTTGCTCTGCTAGTCTTTCCTGCCTTTGAGGTGAGAAACATGGAGACATTAATATAGTAACTTGGAAAGCAGCAGTCAATTAAAAATGAAAATTAAATGAATTATATAAAAAATAAGACTCAAAATACACAAAACAAAATACCTGTTTTATTAATACACAATGCAAAGTGTTAGTGTTCTGCTACTTCTGAAGATTCTAAGTTTCAAATTAGCGGGGATACTTTTTTACTTTTACATGGAGGATTTTCAAGAAGACTTTTTCTATATAACAAGCACTTAAAGAGTGCTTTCTATGTGCTAGGCATGGGCAAAGTGCTTTACAATAACGAACTCAGTCCTGATGACCAGATTCTGAGGTACAAGGCATAATCACCCCATTTTAAAATTGGGGACACCGAAGCACAGGGAAGTGAAGTAACTTGCTCAAGATTAGCTATTAAGTGGCCGATCTTGGACTCAAATGCAGGTACTCTGTTTCCAAGAACACTTCCTCTCACTCCTGCAGTCTGCTGAGGACGGCTGTGAGGTTGTCTGGCTATGAGGATAAAGATGAGATTCCTCATCCCAGTTGGAAGACCTCACTCAATATAATTGCCATGTTGTTCTCATTTTTAAACACATATACATTCTTAGAGTCAAAAAACAGAAATGGGGTTGGGAGGGGATATTTTCCTTGGGGCCTTTGGAAGGGGATCTGAGTTTAGGAAAGGGAAGTCTGAGGCTCTGTTTCTTCTGGGAACATGAAATATTTTCAGGCTAGCTAGATGTTATCAGGCAGATGTGCTCCTGAGAGATCTGAATATTTCTTCATGCCACAGATGTTTGTCAGGCCATCCAGCGCTTGTATAAAAATTCCAGCTAAATCATCCAGAAATGTTTATGTTCTGGCAAATAAATTCACTGTGGGAAACAGAGGTTCTACCAGGCCCTATAGGCTTTCTCCTTTTATTGCCATATCTGGACAGCTTTAAACAGGGAAGTCTGAGGTATGCACTCTGGGTGTTTACAAAATTCTTCCTGAGTTGGGTCAGCAAAACCATTTTCCTTGAAACAATGTGGCACCATGTCCTTCTTCATTTTTATAAAGCTTCATCTGGGGAAACACGTAGATGGGCTTTTAAAAAAATCAACTTTATTGATGTATAATTAATATGATGCATTCATTTTAAGTGTTTGAAGACATAATTTTTTAATTTTATTTTTTTTTATGCTGCTACAGTTGTTCCCACTTTTCTCTCCCTTTCCCTACCTCCACCCAGCCTCATGCCAATTGTTGTCTGGGTCCACGGGTTGTGCATAAACGTTCTTTGGTTAAACCCGTCACCATCTGTCATGTCATCCTGTCCCCCCAACCCTGCCTTTCTGGCAGCTTTCTGTCTGTTTTATGTATCCAAGCTTCTGTTACTATTTTGTTGGTTGGTTTATTGTATTCATTAGACTCCACTATTGAAATAATATGAAGTAAGTGAAATCATATGATACTTTTCTTTCACAGACTGGCTTAATTCACTTAATATAACTTTCTCTACATCCTTCCATGCTGTTGCAAAATGTAAGCTTTTCTTTTTTTTTTTTTATAACTGCATAGTATTTCATTGTATAAATGTACCACAGCTTTTTTATCCATTCATCTACTGATGGGCACTTAGGCTGTTTCCAAATCTTGTCTATTGTAACTAGTGCTCCTATAAACATAAAGGTGCATATATTTTTTTGTATCGGTGTTTCAGGATCCTTAGGGTATATTCCCAGAAGTGGAATTGCTGGGTCAAAAGGGAGTTCCATGTGCTTAATTTTTTAAGGATATTCCACACTGTTTTCCACAGTGGCTGTACCAATCTGCTTTCCCACCAATAGTGCGCTAGGGAACCGTTTTCTCTACATCCTCATCAGTGTTTTTTTGTTGATTTATTGATGGTAGCCATTCTGAAAGGTATAAAGTGATATCTCACTGAGCTTTTAATTTGCATTTATCTAGTAATTAGTGCTGGTGAGCATCTTTTCATAGTCTACAGGCCCTCTGTATGTCCTCTTTGGAGAAGTGTCTATTCAGGTATTTTGCCCATTTCTTAATTGGCTTGTTTGTCTTTGTGGCATTGATAATTTTAATTATGAAGTTTCTTTTTTCCCTCTAGGTACATATCTAGAATGGAGACTTGGAAGACATTTTGGGAGATCATCTTCCTTGCAGCCAGCTTTGGCTTCATCGAGTCACAGAGAACTGGTAATGCATCAGATCCCTAAGCCAAAAGTGGTGCCTTGCCAGGAACCTGATGGCAGTGACAATCTTAAAGGAGCTTCATAATTAACAAAAGGGAAAAGGTTATTTAAAAAGAACTTAGCATCTGGAACCTTATAGTCAACAGTGGGCCCTTGTTTTGTTTCATTTTTTATTTTTCAAAGCTTAACGTCAAATAACAAAAAAAGATATTAAAAGGTATACCTCTGAATGTATTACCAGGCTCAAATGCTTTCATAAACATGGGCCTAGTTTATATTTTCTGCATTTGCTTTGTCTCCTTTGGCAGAACTATTCCCAGGGGTAATAGCCATCACAAGATGAATAACTTCACCAAATGCTAGTGACACCTCTGAAATTTTTTGCAGTCATTTTAACAGATTGTTGGGACTTTTCAAGTTGAAAGTCTCATCAGGAGAAGAATAGCTGAGCAGCCTGAAGCCCCACTGAGACAATACTGAGGTTTAAATATTCATATATAATTACACAGACTGTTATTTGTTGGAAAAAAAGACACGAAGCTCTTCAAATTTTCCCTTTGGCTCTAACTCCCCTCACTTGTGAACAGAAACTGTGACAGTTTTTTCATGCTTCAAACACCTTCTCAAATGACAAAAAGCTGATGGAGGGGTTAAGAAAGTAGCACGGCATGAAAATATAATACAACTCTCAAGTTGCACATGATGGAAGCAATACTTACTGGCCTGAAAAATATTTTGCAGCTGTGAGGTTTCTCCTCATTGGGAAGATGAGAAAAACACTTCATGCCTGTGTTTGATCTCTTCTAAAAGAGGTGTTAAGGGGACAAACCAGTTGACCATCCTTGGAGCACTCACGGAATTCTTTCCTCTTAATAGGGTTGCATTTTGGAGGGACAAAGAGAAATAAAGTTTAAAGGGCTTTAGGCTCATATATTATCTGTGTTTTCAATGATTAGGATTCCAGTTGACTTTATGACCAAGATTAGGCAAAATTCCAAGAGGTGGTGGCATTCAGGACTCTAGAAGTGACAAATGAATTTAGTGTCTATAGAGTATAGCAAACTTCCTAGCCCTTCTCTATTTCAACTCCCATGTGGTCTTTGCCTTTCTGCAATGTGGACTTTTAATTTAACCTTCCTTATGGCAGTCCAGGGTATGGACTAGTTTCCAATACTGGCTCCTTGAATGGATTTACATGAGCTACTTTGCCTTTCTAAGTCTTTTTTTCCTAATCTGGGAGATAGATGAATTGGATTCATTATACTATACTTGAACTATTTAATACAATGACTGCTAGACACATGTGATTATTTAAAGTAAATTAAAATTCAATAATAAAATTTAATTTCCCAGTTGTACTAACTACCTTTCAAGTGCTCAGTAAGCACATGTACCTAGTGGCTACAGTAATACATTACATAGTCACATAAAATTATTTCCAGGTCTAAAATTTTCTGATTCCCTTAGTTGGTTTTATCAATGTTCAGTATGTCTTCACCTTTCTATTTTTGGATGACTACTATATGCTAGACACTCAAGTGGTGGACAAACAAAAAATACGGTGTCTATTTCCATGGAGCTCGCAGTCTAGTTGGTGAGATTGATGAGCTGAATAAGCACACTAATGAATCTTATATTACAAACCAAGATAAAAGAATATGATTCTATGGGGATTTACCAGGTGAAAAAAAGAGAAAGAATGAAAGGAAGAAGAAAAAGTCACCAGGGGCAAAGGAGAGCATGGAGAGTTTGAGAACCTGGACTAAGCAGCCTGGAACACAGAGAACAAAGTTGAGAGGTTAGAGAAATAAAGCTAGGGAGATAATGCAGGGCCAGCCCAAGCCAGTATTTTAAACCTCCTGGCACAAAATCAAGTGCAAGATGTGTTTAACCAGTCTGAGGTCATTATCCCTTGGTTTTTCAGCCACTTTAAACCATCTTTAACTGGTTCCTGCTTTTGTGTCTCCTGCCATCACTAATTTATGTGTTCTCTCATTATCACAGATAATTACATTCTGAGATATTGATGGGGAGGGGAAGAAGTCACGGTGGTTACTGTGAAGTAGATTGATCACAGTCACTTCTTCTTTTGGTCGTCATAAGCACTGTGCTTAATCTGCACGTCTTGTCACAGGAAAGCAAATTTTGAGTTGGAAGAGGCCGTGTCACCTGGTCAATCTTTTATCTTTTATTCCAGAGAAATGCAATCTGAGACAGAGAGAGCGTAGCTATATGCTAAAGCCCTGCAGCCACCTGATTGATGTTGGGTCCCTTCCACGCTGGAGACCAGGATGGGCCCAGCTGGAGTACCACTCAATCTGATCACTATTGGGGTTGTGGTTCCCAGGGTTAGAGCGGGGTTTGGGAGAAACAGATACACAATGTGGCCTTGAATTCAGGGGGCCAAAGGACAAATACGGCAGTGCCACCACTCAAACTAAAAGAGGCTAGTGGCAGCCAGGTAGTGCTAGAGGTCAAAGCTGGAAAATTGATGTCTTAGGTCAAATTCTCTAGAAACAGAGCCTTGAACAGGGATTTGGTGAACGTGTTATTTGGAAGGAGTCCTGTTAAAGATAAATCTGTAAGGCAGTGAGAGAAGTTGAGATAGGCTAGTGGGCAAAGAAATGAAGCAAGAATGTAGCCTCAGGCAAAACCTAGCCTTGGCCCGACTTGTGGGAGATGATGGAGCATAAATAGCACCATGAATTGTTTCAGTTAAGACAAAGGTGTCAGGGATGTGTCTCCCCAGGTGTTCAAACACTGGCCACGTAGGGTGGTGGAGTTGATGAGTCTTTCCAGCTGTTTCCATACAAGGCTGTTCCTTTCAGCCAGGGGCATGTCTCTGGACAAAGTCCCAGCCAGGAACAATTAACTGTTGTACTTTACGCAACTGGAGCGTAAGTGTATTAGTTGGTAAAGGAGGTTTTGGTGGGATATCAATGGCATTTTCTACTGGCAGAAAGCTAGTTTCTTTTTCTTTTTTTAATTTTTATTATCAGCCTCAGCTGGTGTGGCTCAGTGGATTGAGTGCCAGCCTGAGAACCAAAGGTTGCCAGTTTGATTTCTAGTCAGGGCGCATGCCTAGGTTGTGGGCCAGGTCCCATGTTGCGGGGGTGTGAGAGGCAACCAGTCAATGAATAACACATCAATGATTCTCTCCCTTTCTTTCTCCCTCCCTTCCCTTGTCCCTCCCTTCCCCCTCTCTAAAAATAAATTAATAAAATATTTAAAAAATTTATTATCACAGTTGACATAAAATACTATATTAGTTTCAGGTGTACAACATAATAATTAGACATTTATATAACTTATGAAGTGATCACCCTGATATGTCTTGTACTGATCTAAAACCATACCTAGCTTTTACAATATTGTTGACTGTATTTTCTATGTTGTAATTTACATCCCCATGACTGTTTTTATAACTGGCAATTTGTACATATTAATCCCGTCTCTCTTTTTACCCATCCCTCAACCCGTCTCCCATCTGGCAACCATCAATTTATTTTTTTGTATCTATGAGTTTGTTTTTTTTTTGTTTGTTGTTTATTTTTTTTAAAGATTCGATACATAAGTGAAATTATATGGTATTTGTTGTTCTGTGCCTGACATTTCCCTTAGCATCACATCCTCTAGCTCCATCAATGTTGTTGCAAATGGTAAGATTTCATTCTTTTTTTTTTAATGACTGAGTAATATTCTATTTAATATATGTACCACATCTTCTTTATTCCTTTGTGTATCAATAGGTTACTCCTATATCTTGGCTATTTTAAATAATGCTGCAATGAACATAGTTGTGCATATGTCTTTTTGAATTAATATTTTGGATTTCTCCAGAAAATACAGAGCAGTGGAATTGCTTGGTCCTGTGGTAGTTTTGTTTTGAATTTTTTGAGGAACCCCCATGCTGGGATTGCACCGATTTACGATCCTCCCAATAGCGCATGAGAATTCCCTTTTATCCACATCTCACCAAAACTTGTTGCTTATTGATTTATTGACAATAACCATTCTGACAGGTGTGAAGTGATATATCATTGAGGTTTTAATTTGCATTTCCTCATTAATTAGTGACACCGAGAAGTTTTCAATTTGTCTGTTGGCCATCTCTGTGTCTTCTCCGGAGAAATGTCTATTCAGATCCTCTACCCATTTTTTAATCAGATTGGTTTTTTTTTTTTTTGGTGTTAAGTTGTATGAGTTCCTTATATATTTTTGGATATTAACCCTTTATTAGATGTATCATTGGTGAATATCTTCTCCCATTCAGTAGGTTGCCTTTTTGTTTTAAAAAATATGGTTGATGGTTTCCTTTGCAAGGCAAAAACTGTTTAGTTTGATGTTGTCCCAATTGTTTACTTTTTTTGTTTCCCTGGTTTCTTTTATTAAGTGTAAGGAATGAATAGGGGGCCATGGTCAGGGTTCTAACTGAAGGGTCAAATGTCTGTTACAGTGGAACAGAGGGTGGCAGGTGAACAAGGGTAGATGGCAGCCATGAGGCAGCAAAGATGATCATGTGCTTAGACTGCATGCATACTAATTATAGTCAAAGAGTTGTGCAGGAAGGCCTGTGGGTTGTAAACACACTGATTTAGGAGAGATATATTTACAACCAGTAGCTGTCAATTTTGTAATGTTTTATCTTAACTTGACTCTCTTCCCTAGTCTGCAGAGAGGCCTATGTGGGAGATGTCGTATTTCTACTGGACAGCGGCAATGACCCCCAAATTACCAACAATATGCGGTACTTCTTGATTCAACTGGTGAATAGCTTCAATGTCAGCAGAGAGAACATACGCGTGGGGCTGGTCCAGTACAGCGACGTGCCCCATTCCGAGTTCCTACTTTCCACGTACCACCACAAAAGTGACATTTTGAGTCACATTCGGAAGTTTCGATGGAAACCTAAGGGCCCTCAGGGCAACAAAATGGGCCTGGCCCTGCAATTCCTTCTAGGTCACCATTTCCAGGAAAGATCAGGGAGCCGAGCAAGCCACGGAGTGCCTCAGGTCACCATGGTGATCAGCAGCAGCCCAACTGTGGACCCTGTGGAGGAACCCGCTGAGGCATTTAGGAGGGCGGGCATCCTGCTTTATGCCATTGGCTTTAGAGGTACATCGAAGACAGAGCTCAGGAAGATTGCGAGCAGTCCTGTGGAGAAGTTTTTCTTTTTTGTCCCCAACTACTCTAATCTGGGCAGCCTCATCCAGAAGCTGCAGAAGGAGTTCTGTGAGACTTTGGCAAAAGCGGCTCAACCAGTTGACCACGTCTCTCCAGGTACAAAGGCTTTTCCCTTTTTATTTCTGATCTAGAAGTCACAGAACTCAAGGCTTTGTCTCTTATTCATCTCATCTAGTGTTCTTATTTTTCATGTGTGTGCATGTTTGATTTTGATATTAAAATTTCACTAAACCAACTGTACTCTTATGCCCTTTTCTAATCATTGACCCAAACTTATCAACTCATTTTCTTTTTTAAAAATCCTGTGGGTTTTATGCTGGTTCAAATAGGCATGTAGGATAAGGCTACTTTTAATGAAGGAAATATTTGTCCCTATGGTATTATTATTCCTAGATTAATTAACCCATATTGCCTGAATGGGGGGCCTAGAAGGGGAGGGGAGTTTAGATGACCCAGGAAGCTGGCTTATTTTACTGCTAGTGTGTTGCTCTAATATACTGGTTAAGAGGATGAATTTAGGGAGAAGAAAGATCTGGGTTCAAATCCTGAGTCTCCACTTTCTGACTGTATGATCTTGAACATGTTACTTTATCTCTTTGGTTCCATTAATTTTCTTTCTAGGATGATAGTACCTGCCTCAGAGACTTGTTGAAAGCATTACATAAAATTATACAAGTAAAGAGCTTATCACAGTGTTTAGCCCATCAGAGATGCCCATAAGCATTATGGTTATTACCTGTGATGATGTACTTGTCATCAGTTTTGTACTTCTGTTGGTGGTGATGGGGCATAAACTGGTGAAAAAATTTTTTTTTTACTCCTCACCCAAGGACATGCTTATTGATCTCAGAGAGAGGAGAAAGGAGGGGGAGAGAGAGAGAGAGAGAGGGAAAAAAACATCAATGTGAGAGAGAAACATTGATTGGTTGCCTCTTGCATGCATCCCAAGCCAGGGACTAAACCTGCTACCAACGTATGTGTCCTAACCAGGAATCAAACTCATGACTTTTGATTTATGGGAGGATGCTCCAACCAACTGAGCCACACTGGCAGGGGATGAAAAATCTTCATAAATTAATTACTAAACTCTGTAAGAAAGGACAGAATTTTTAAAAGAGAGAAGATTGCTTGTGGGTTCCATCAAAATCCACAAGAAGATAGAGCCTTCATTACTTATTCTTTATTTTGGTATTTCTACATAGGCCAGGTGAATTGGAAGAAGTGTTAAGACTTTTGAAGCATTTGACGCCACGGGTGTGTGGTGGTAATATTGCATTTGCACAGCCTAATTATATATCTTACTTTTGTATAGTGCTACCAGGTGTACAAAGATGTTTTATATACACAGTCATAACTAGCTTGCTTAGTTCTCTGTAGTTTTCAAAACTTGTTTGCATTGCCTATCTGACTGATAGATAGATACATAATACTTTATTTTTGGTTAGGTACCTAGGACAGTTAGTATTTGTTTTTACATGGATGAATAAGGCAATTTGTATTGTGTGCATTTTTCATGTGGAGAAACTGAGGTCAAATGTAACATAACTCAATGGCAGAGCTAGGACTTGATCCCAAGTCTTTTAGAGCAGATCCATTTCAATAGAAAGGTGTCTTAGGTTGTGTTCTCCAGGAGCAGAGCCTGAGGTGAGGATTTGGATGCACATTATTTGTTATGGAAGAGCTCCCAAAGGAGGTTGGTAAGGATGAAGGGGATGTAGGACAGAGAAGGCGAGGAAAAAAAGGAAGAAAGAAAGGCATGATTTTAGGTAAAAGTTCCACAGAGGGTAGTGTTAGCTTGATCCTACAGGAGAACTCAGGATTGTGTTGACACAAGGCAGGGAGCTAGGCTTTCATATATTGTAGGCAGAGCAGCTCCAGTACGCAGACAGAAGTCTTCCAAAGAGCAGTGTATATATAAATGGTAAAAAGGAATCCAGAAGGGCCTGGGCAGACCACTGATATTGTCTGCTACAGTAGGTTATCTTATTTTATCAAGGCAATCCCATGAGATTGTGAGGGCTGGTATAAAGATTTCAGTGCTACAGAGAGAGAATTGGGTCCCATAGAGATGAGTGATAAATAGCTTATGGGGCTATTAAGTGGTAGAGCTGTAATGAGAGGTATCATAAAACCTGGGATACTTTCTAGCTTTCTGATCTGTTGGTGCCAGCACTCTCCTAGAGACGAAGTTCATTCCCACTGGAGAGAGTACAGCCTCTTTCTCAGCGTGTTTGCTACATTTGTAGAAGTGTTTTTTCTCTTAAGGAGAGTTAAGGAATTCTCCAATGGGTTGCAAAGTTGGAGCTGTCAGCAGAACATGACGGAGGTCTCAGAAGGTGATGGACTGGAGGGAAGGAAAGGCACAAGGCATGCTGGCATGCTGCTGCTCTCCTGAGCACAGCATCGTTTGGGGTGTCCGAGGACCACTGAGTAAAGATTGCCTGGTATTGCTGTGCCTTCCTGTACACCATTTGGTTCCATTAGCTCTAAGCATTTTGAGTGAAGGTCTGCTCAAAATCCCTTTTGTCCTCTCTGTTGCAGTTTGCAAAGAAGTGGTCCTGGCAGATATTGTCTTTCTGGTAGACAGCTCAACCAGCATCGGACCCCAGAACTTCCAGAAAGTGAAGAACTTCCTTCGTTCTGTTGTCCTGGGGCTTGAGATTGGCAGGGACCAGGTTCAAGTGGGACTGGCTCAGTATAATGACAATGTCTACCCAGCCTTTCACTTGAACCAGTACTCGCAGAAGAATGTGATCCTGAAGCATATCCAGAACCTGCCCTACCGTACAGGAGGCACAAACACAGGGCTTGCCCTGGAGGTTATGAGGACCAGCTACTTGACCGAGGCCTCTGGCAGCCGGGCCAAGGATGGGGTTCCTCAGATAGTTATCCTGGTGACAGACGGGGAGTCAAATGATGAAGTCCAGGAGGCAGCCACCAGGTTGAAAGAAGATGGAGTTGTCATGTATGTGGTAGGCATCAACGTCCAGGATGTCCAGGAGTTGCAAAAAATAGCCAGTGAGCCATTTGAGAAGTTTCTCTTTAACACCGAAAACTTCAACATCCTTCAGGATGTCTCGCAAGGCATTCTTCAGACACTGTGCTCAGCAGTGGAGGGTAAAATGAAAGGTAAGAAGCTGTGTCAAGCCCAGCATTCCAACTGGGGTGCCTAATTGCAATGTGAGCCAGGGTACACTGAGTGCAGTGGAAGGTAGGAGAAGGAGCCGTCCGCCATCCCTGGTGAGAACCTGGGAGGCTTCCTAAATGAAGGAACATCTGAGCTGGGGATTGAAGGATGGATGAAGTTCTCATGGGTAGAAAAAAACACCCTGCCATGTTGGTAAGATGAAATAGCATAGGTTTTGAAGTCCAGAAGACATGGTTTCCCTTCCTTCCTTCCTTCCTTCCTTCCTTCCTTCCTTCCTTCCTTCCTTCCTTCCTTCCTTCCTTCCTTCCTCCCTCTCTCCCTCCCTCCCTCCCTCCCTTTCTTTCTTTCTCTGCCTTTGCTACTTTCTAGTTCTGTGAGCATGGGTGAACAGTTAAACTTTACTCCAGTTTTCTCATCTGCACAATGAAGATAATAATACTTGCCTAGCAGGATGGTTTATGAGAATTAAGTCAAAGTACATGAAAATCTCTAGCACAAAGTAACTGCTCAGTATGTGTTAACTTCCCTTGTCTCCTCCATTGGTGGAAAAAGAATAATTGAAAGATGCTTTAGTCTAACGAAGCAGACAACACAGGCAGGGTGGGTATAGGAAGGGGAGAGTCTGTGACAATCTTAGGTCCTCTGCACTAAACTACCCTTGTGTTCAATTTCCATGAGATCTTGATGTGATTTACTTTCTCCTCTGTGTCTTTTCCTCCCCCGTTCTCTCTTCAGATCCAGAATTCACCAAGGCCTATGCAGATGTGGTCTTTCTTGCCGACACCTCACAGGACACATCACAGGCCAGTTTCCAGCAGATGCGGGATTTCATCTCCAGAGTGATTGGCATGCTAGATGTTGGCAGGGACAAGTACCGGATTGGCCTGGCTCAGTATGGTGGTCAAGGTCACACTGAATTTTTGCTCAATGCCTACCAGAGCCAAGAGGAGATGATTGCACACATCCGTGAATACTTTGCACTCCGTGGTGGCTCCCGGAGGACAGGCAAAGCTCTGCGATACCTCCATGACACCTTCTTCCAGGAGGCAGCGGGAAGCCGATTTCTCCAGGGCATTCCCCAGTATGCAGTGGTCATTACATCAGGCAAATCTGAGGATGAGGTCTGGGATGCTGTGCAGATGTTGAAGGAAAAAGGCGTGAAGGTCATGTCTGTGGGTGTACAGGACTTTGACAGAAGAGAACTGGAGAGGATGGGGACCCCACCCCTTATATATGAGATGCAAGGACAAGATGGAGTCAGACAGAGGATACAAGATGTGAATGTGGGGATCCTTGGGATGGCGGAGACCGAGAAGGAAGCTACAGCAGGTAAGGTTTGGTCTCTAAGTGTGTGAGCCACCGAGAAGTCTTAGCATAACAGGAAAGTCTGGGGAAAGAGCAGAGAAGGGGGGCGGTTCTGGATTCCTCAGTACTGGGACACTAGCACTGGCAGATGGGGAAGGGGAAGGGGCATGGAGTTGTTTCAGGCACAAATGTTGTATTAGTTAACCATAGTCACAATGATGCTGCGTAACAAGTCATCCAAAAAGGCAGGGACTGAAAAGAACTATTAATTTTCATAGGTCTGCTGGGGGTCAGCTGATCCTCCTTGGGTTCACCTGAATGGCTTCGCTAATCTTGCCTGGGTTTATTCACAGATTTGGGATTTGGCTGAGGGTTGGCTGATCTCCCTTTGGCTACGTTCCATAGCTTTCTCTTATCTTTCTCCTGAGATCATTAGGCTAGTCTAGGCATATTCTTCCTGTGTCAATTGTAGAGGTCCAGGAGAGAAAGCCCAGTTGCATAAGCACTTTTCAGACTTCTGCTTCATCATCTGCTAACATTCTGTTGGCCAAAATAATTCATGTGGCCATGTCATCATCAATGGAGCAAGAAAGTATATTTCTACCATGGAAGTGAGGTATAGGGAGTAAATATTTCTGAACAGTAATCCATGTTACCATATGCCTTTTCCAGAAGGAGCATTCAGGCTTCTCTCCAGAGATTAAATAAAGTCCTTCTGTAGGTTGGCATTCAAAATGCTCAAGGGAGATGCTATTGGCATTTTGGGTGAAAGTTCATAGCGTAGGATTGCCTTTTGCACTGCTAGAGGTTTAATAGCCCTCATCCCTGCCAGTAGCATCCCTGAATCTTATGACAATCCAAAACATCACCATATATTTCCAAATGTCCCCTGGAGATGGGGGCCACTGTTGGTTGAGAGCCACTGAGCATTATTTCCTGCTAAGTTCTTTTGTACATTCTAACCACTAGGCAAGCTGAGCTACTCACCATTTGCTGTATATGTGTTATACTTTGTTATACTTTCCCACCTTTGTCTCTGCCCTGAATACTATACTACCAGCCTGGAATGACCACAGTCAAAACTTCATCCTTCAGTTCTTAAGTTACCTTCCTGATGGAACAACCCTACAACTTGAAGCTTGGTGTGGCTTCTAGTTGATCCTCACAGCTAGAAACAATCAATCCCTACTTTCTATGAACTAACGTGGTCCTGCCAAGACCTCTCAACATCTAAAGCTTGAGGGTTCGTGTAATTTCATATGCAGAAAAAGCAAACATATGTGAGACAGAAGAAGAAATCCAAGCAGTAATTATAAGGAACTACGGAAGCTTATGGACACTATATTAAGTAGAAACAAAACAAAAGGAGGACATAGCGAAGAACCTGGGAGGAATTGTGTTGGTCCCTTGATAATGGGTGTGATTTTAATACATAGGGAGAAGGGAGGAGGGTACTCTTGGTAGGGGGAAGACCATGAGTAAGTGTGTAAAAGTGGGAATGGACTGAATGAATATGGAAGGAGGTGGGGGGAAAAAAGGCACTACCTGGGATTGGGAGGAGGATTTAGAAGTAGGGAGGGATGAGATTTGATTAGGTAAGATGATCCCTGGTTATAAGGCCCCAAAGGCACTAGGAAGTAACAGTAGGCTTTTAAGCAGGAAAAATGACACAATCAAAGTGGTCTTTAAGGAAACCTTCAGTGTGCAGGCTGAATTCCACATTACACCTTTGACTCAGAAGGACTTCAAAGCTGAGCTGTCATCAGTCCGATAGGGAGGATGCCTATGTCTAGCCAATAGTGGCTTGGATAATGAGGAAAGGGGGTTAATCTGATGACAACTTTAAAGGCGAATAATAGCACTTGGTACCAGCAGGTGAAGGAAGGGGGCAGTCACCGATGCTTGGGGTTTCTAGAGAAGGTGTTTTAGACCTGGCAAAATCAGGGCCACATTCTTTTTTTTAAAACTGAGGATTGATTTTTGGTTCTTTATAAAAAAGGACCAAGGGGGAAATTTTAGGATTCCAAGAATCCAAAGTTAAGTCAAAAGATTATTCTGTTGCCCCATAGTCTCTCCTCCAAACTTTGTTTCATAATATTTTGTTGTTTACACTTTGCTACATGCTGATTTCATCCTCCTGTTTTTTATGTGCTTTTGGCTTTCTGCTAGGGAGATTTTAATTTTTTCCTACATCAAAGCAGATTTGGATCCGACAGATTATTTGTCCAATTTGGACTGGACAGAGTATTTTCTTCCCCCCCCGCCCCCACAGTAATAAGTGCTTTAAATTGTAAGAGTGGTGTTTAGACTCCTCTTAGGAGGGAATTTAATGCAGTTATAACTCCAATGCCCCATTTAAGGTAGGTTAAAAGGAAGAGTCTTTCATAGCAAAATAAAACAGCCAGTAGGCCCAACATTTGGACAAAAATTTTTGATGGGAACTTGCAATATTTCATGTTGCTGCTGTTGAAATAACGTGGAACTTGTAGAAAAAAGCACACAAGTGAATAGTCACAATTTACTATTTCCATCTTTCATCAGGGCAGAAGGAAAGTTATTAAATCCAGGTTTCAGGCCTATAAAAGAGAAATTGGCCCAGGGTTTCTTGAAACTAGAAAAATAAAGAAAAAACTAGTTAAGCAAGGCTCAGATACTTCTAATAGACTTAGATGAATTGAAAAATGACCTTAAAGCACTTTTTTGTAGATATACATATATTTACATATTTTGCAAGTGATGTGAATACTCTTTCATGTGAAAAATTTTGGGACAGGTATGAACCCTGTTATGATCTTTGACCATCATACTAAATGATGGACATAAAGACTTCTACTAAGTTCTAAAATGTATTAATATAAGTTACTATAACATTATTACAACTTGTAATACTAAACATTACAGTATATAAAATAAATATATAATCATCATGATATATTAAAATATAGCATAACCTTCTATACAAAATTAATGTTGTCTTTATTATTCTGTTCTCATGCTAAAATAAAGCCCTTCCTTTTGTTTTTGTTTGTTTATAGCATGTCCAACTGCTATTCCTGCTGATTTAGTATTCCTGGTTGAGAAATTTAGCAGGGCCATGCAACAGAATTTCCAACACGTTGTCAATTTCTTAAAGGCCACCGTTAGCTCTCTAAGCATTCATCCTGATTTTGTGAGAATCGGCTTGGTGTTTTACAATGAGAAACCACGACTTGAGTTTTCACTGGATGCATTTCAGACTCCAGCCAAAATCTTGGAGCATTTGAACAAATTAACTTACCAGGAAAAAAGAGGAATGACCAAGACTGGTGTTGCCTTGGATTTCCTAAGGGATGAGGTTTTCATTCAGGAGAAGGGCAGCCGTGCCAAGCAAGGTGTGAGGCAGATAGCTGTGGTCATCACGGAAGGCTCCTCTCAAGACGATGTGTCCAGACCAGCTTCTCTCCTCCGTAGGGCGGGGGTTACCATCTATGCGGTGGGCACCCAGCTTGCCTCAGAGAACAGGGACCTGGAGAAGATAGCAACATATCCTCCTTGGAAGCATGTCATCCCTCTGGAATCCTTTTTGCAGCTCTCCATTGTGGAAAGAAAGATTAAGAACCAGCTCTGCCCTGACACTCTGAGCAAAGCATTGTCCCCTAGTGAGATCGGCAATGTTCTAAAAGAAGGTAGGAGGACCTTCCCCACGTTTGATCTATCTTTTTTTTATGTTTACTCTGCTTTCTCCATACATCCATTCATCTCCTCTCCCTCTCTCTTTCCCCATCCAAGAAAAGATTTTGGAGTCCATTTATTAAGAAACTGAAAGACAAAACTTATGACATTAGAATTATTTTGTCTTGATTCTGAACAGTGCAGAAGAATGTGAAGTCAACAGTGAACATTACTTCCTCTTTTTACCTTACCCCTCATCCATTTGAACAATCTGATGAAAATATATGTATATTTACAGTAGAGGACCCAGGAATCTGAATATAGCTTTACCAAATCTTAAGTCATATAAAACTGGAAATCATTTCTAAAAAGATATAAACATTCTCAAAATTAAAAAATTTTAACTTAATAGATGAATATTTTAATCTTTCATGTAGGACCAACACTTCTTTGAATATGAGCCCTACTGTTTGGAATTTTGTGTATTTTCATCAATCACCCAGTAGTGTATTTTCTATAGTTTCCAGTTTCTTTAAAATGAAAAGATAGCTTAGCCACTTTTGAAACAATCTGAGTACAGAAATCGTTATTGATTTTTATGATCTCAAAAATTCAATCTTTTATAGTGTTATCTAGTACACCAGCAATTTCTTTGACAACAACTTACCTTTATTGGCTTCTCTAAGCAGTTAACCTGGTTTTCATAGATGTAATAAACCTCTTTTGTTCACACCCATATTCTGCTGATTTTGTACAATATTTGATTTGTTGTGTAATTATAATAACAAAACTGCCATAAACAGGCTGAGGATGAGCATGCATTGCGCTTGGCAGGCTTATCCTTCCATTGAGCAAAGCAGAGTTTTGTCGTGTTCAACTGCGGAGCTTCTGGAGGAGGGCACTCAGCGCACTGTGGAAGTACCGCTCATGTGTTACAGAGAGAAGGGAGCGCGTCAAGTATCTGGGGGGCCACTTATCTGGGGAACCACTTATGAAGAGATTGGTTAGGAAACTTCCTACTATATGTGCAGTTGGAAAAAAAAGACCACCAGAAAAAGAATACCATAACAGTAAAGAATGTTCACCTTGGGGTCAAAATGCCTAAATTTTAAATCCAGAATTTGCCACTTACTGGCTGTTATCATTATCTTTCAGTCTGTTAGTCTGCTTGTCTATTTTTGTCCACCCATGCCAGGATTTCTTAGATTAAAATCAGAATTAGAGAAGGAAGATAACTTGAAATGTCAATAATGAACTTAAAAATTCAAGGCTGTGATTGTATCTTCAGGGGAAAATGACTACGCTTTTATTTTTTTTAAACAATCATTAAATGATCTTGTAATCTTTTGATTACTTGTGCTGAGGTTTAGTGATTTAAAATAGATAAATTTCCATTTTTTTTCTTTGGTCTATTTCCCTGTCCTAGGAATGAGGAACAAAATCATTAACTATGAATTTCATTTCCTTGTGCAGCCCTCACCTCTGATCCGCAGGAAAGGAGAAAAGGCCCCTTTCTCTCCTTCTAATTCACCAACAATATAAAAACTTGAGAGCTGATTTCTTTCCCAGACTGTATAGCAGCTAAGACGAAACCTGAAATCAGTCCAAAGTATAGAGGAGATGGGGTTGGGGGTGCTTATAGGTAAACAGTCTGCCCTGGCTGATCCTAACGTTTGTAATATCTACCATTTATTGGTCACCTGCTATGTTGTCAGCCACTCTGTTAAGCACTCTGTGTATGTAACAGATGTGGATGCTTAGAAGCAGCCAGAATGTAAGAAATATCTTTCTCCCCTCACCCCACCCCCAACCACGGCCTCCAAATCTTCATCTGCCAAGATGTGCAAGAATGTGTAGTGCCAGGCAGTGTTCAGGTCTCTTGGCTCCTCTGGACAGTGCAAAGGCCCTGGGCCACCGTGGCCCTTTTCTCAGACTTGGGCTAGCTATCTACCTGTCACCAGTGGGTTCTGGGTTCCAGCAAAGTCCGAGTTTATGGCTCCCTTTTTTTTTTTAAAGATTTTATTTATTTATTTTTAGAGAGAGGGAAAGGGAGGGAGAGAAATGTCAATGTGTGGTTGCCTCTCGTGCGTCCCTAACTGGGGACCTGGTCAGCAACCCAGGTACGTGGCCTTACTGGGAATCAAACTCGTGACTCCTTGGTTCTCAGGCTTGTGCTCAATCCACTGAGCTACACCAGCCAGGGCTCTGCCTCTTTTTTTCATAATTTTCCCTTCATTCCCCAAGCATTTGGCAAATACCGTAGTAGCAGATGACTACTCCCTACACCCTTCTAAGCCACACCCCTTACAATGTCTGCTCCTCTAGTGTGGGGATGCCCAGTGAAATCTGAAATTCATTCAAATAAACAGGAAATACCTTTGTTTTGGTATATATGTCTCACATACTGGCTGGACTAAGGTACTTCCAAATAAAGGCAACTCCTTTCTCAGACCACTTCCCTTTCAGCCAGAAAACATTAAGAAGCTCTTGATTCTTCCCTGGGTCAAGGAAATCCAGACATGAATTAACACAAGGCTGGGCTGCCCTTCCTGAAAGGTGTGAGGAGAAAGTCATGTTTCATTCTTTCTGAGGAATCTGCTAGGTGACAACAATAAAACACTGGGTGAACTTAACCATGAATTTTTAATACTCAACTCTCCTATGTTTCCATAATCTTTTTTTAATCCTCACAATCAACTCACTGAGCAGGTGTTAAGATTCTTGTTTGACACCTTAGGAAACTGAGATGCAAAGGGGCACACTTGCTAGTAAGTGGTAGAGATAGAGTCTAAAACAGAAAACTTTAAGTTCATTTAAATTAATTATAAATTCCAGAAAGTGCCCATTTATTTAAAAATCATGACTTTCATGAGAAGCAGGAGTATTGGATCCTGAGACAATTCACAGACTCAAATATGCTCTGATATTTTACTTGTAGTTGTTCTCAACTTCCCTGTTTGAGAAATGTCAAGTAATATGTGCTTCATGTCTCAAGTGGGGTTCACCAGAAACAGACTCTGAGACAATGATCTAGTTGCAAGTGGTTTATCTGGAAGGTGACTCCAGCAGGGCACACTGGTAGGGGAATAGGGATGAGAGAGAGGAAGAGGAGGCAGACAATCCAGGTGAAGTTACCGAGCAGGTCATTGCTGTAGGCAGCTGGGGCTCAGCTCTTTTGGGACCACACACTATCTCATCTCCTTTCTAATGAGCTGCTGCTTCTTCTTATTGCCTAGGCTGTGAGCGCATTGAGAAGGCAGATATTTACTTCCTTATTGATGGGTCTGGCAGCATCCAACAAGACAATTTTCTTGAAATGAAGGTGTTCATGAAAGAGGTGATAAAGATGTTCCGTATCAGGCCTGATGGAATACAGTTTGGAGTCGTTCAGTACTCAGACCAAATTAATAAGGAATTTATCCTCAGCCAGTATCACAGTGAGACAAGTCTGAAGGTAGCCATTGATAGCATCCGGAAGAGTGGAGGTGGCACCATGACAGGTCAGGCCTTGAGAAACATGGCTCAGATCTTTGCAGACACTGCTCGCAGCAACGTGCCTTGGTATCTCATAGTTATCACTGATGGAAAATCTTTGGACCCAGTGGCTGCGGCTGCAAAGGCATTGAGGAGCAACAGAGTCAACATTTATGCCATTGGGGTCCGAGATGCTAACATTGCTGAGCTTAAGGAGATCGCTGAAGACAAGGTGTCTTTCGCATCTGAGTTTGATTCATTGAAGGCCATTCAACAAGAAGTGGTAAAAGACATCTGCTTCTCAACTAGTAAGAATTTTCCTTCAATCTCTCTTTCTCTCTCCATCTCTCTCTCTCTCTCTCTCTCTGTCTCTGTCTCTCTCTCCCCCTCTCCCCACAAATATACATGTCTAATCGATGTGAACAGGCTTCATTCTTGAAATGGGGATTCCCTAGTCCAAAAGTGAGTATTGGACAGAGTGACCATGACCTAGACTGAACAAAACTGGTCACATTTTATGTCTTTGTTATACAGCTGTGTCTATTTTGAGACTGGTTTGTGCTGGGTCATAGAAAATTTATTTCATTGACTTCCTCTCCTTCCTTCTTTAAAAATCTTTTCATGCTGTGTATCTGCCACCTCAGACTGTCTCTGAGAACTTGTAATTAATTTCAGGCTTTGAGTGAATGTTCTGTTCTGCTCCTCCCCAGCCCTTCCAGCCTGTAAGGAGAAGGAAGCTGACATTATCTTTCTGATAGATGGTTCAGAATCCATCTCCTCAAGAAACTTTGAAAAGATGAAGGAATTCATGAAGAAAATGGTGAATCGATCTAATATTGGTGTTAATAGAATTCAGATTGGCCTTTTGCAGTTCAGCTCAAGTGCCCGGGAAGAGTTCAAGCTCAACTACTCCTTCTTAAAGGAGGAAATTCTCGAAGCCATCTCAAATGTTCAGCAGATGTTTGACGGCACCCACACTGGGAAAGCCCTGAATTTCACTCTGCCTTTTTTTGACAGTTCAGCAGGAGGCAGACCCCATGTTAGTCAATATTTGATTGTGATTACTGATGGGGTGGCCCAGGACAATGTAGCCATACCAGCCAAGGCCCTCAGGGACAGAAACATAATTATTTTTGCCATTGGTGTAGGACTAGCTGAAAAGTCTCAGCTTTTGCAGATTACTAATGACCCCAACAAAGTGTACTATGAAGACAATTTTGAGTCCCTGAAGAATCTGGAGAAGGAAATTTTTGACAAGGTCTGCAGTCCACAAGGTGAGTGACAGAGGGTTTGTTATTTGATCCACAAGCCCATCATAAGTGTCAGGGATCCTGTTGGCTCTCTTAATAAAACTGATCCTTCTAGCGGGGGAAGAGGGGTGGAGGGAAGATCACCTTGCGGGGAAGGCAACTGGACTGAACTCTTACTGCTGTTACTCACCTTCTCCTGGGCATTCTTTAAGTCAGTCCCTGGCTGTCACAGCTCTGGCCTCCAGAGGCCTGAACTTTCTCAGAACTCTGTCTCCAGGAAGCCTTCACAAATGTTCCCTTTATTCCTTGTAGATACATGAAACCAGACTGGAATGTGTAAACACAGCTTACTGAAGATTGGGGCATATTGAAAGAGAAATAGGAACAGAGAATAATATCAATTAGATAGTGGTTCATACGAAATACTCTTTTCTATGGGGCTCTGGACAGTCGTCTCTCTACTTTGTTGCTAATTGGCTTCCATATGGCTGAGGTCATCCTCCATCGCATGTTATCTCCTCAAGCTTTTATCCAAAACAGCAAGGTCCATAGACAAAGGTTCCTTTTCCCAACAGTCTGGATCTGTTCTTTTGACCTTGTCTTAAGACTTGCCTTTCAGTGGGTGATTGACCTGGGAAATGTCTTCGTGGATGACTCTACCTCCTTTCCACAGGAAGTGAGATTCTACAGCACACCCACATCATAATCAGGATTGCTAACCTTTAGATGGTGCTTTATGTTTGTGCCAGTGGCTGTTGCAAGGGCTTCCATATATTAAAACATTAAATTCTTCACATAACCCTATGGAATAGATACTGTTTTGCAGAGGAGGAAACCAAGGCACAGAAAAATTAGGTTATTTGGCCCAAGTAAAGAGCAGAGCTGAGATTTGAACTTGAGTAAGTCTAGTTCTAGAATTTGTGTACTAAATACTGTTCTATATTGCTCTTTCATATATGTAGTATAGCAGAGCATAATAGGGCCTCTCAAACTTCAACACTCATTTGAATTACCTGGAGATCTTTTTAAAATGCAGATTATGATTCAGTAGTTCTGGGTAGGATTCTTTTACTAACAAGCTCCCAGGTGATGCTGATTCTGCTGTTTCTCAAATCACTTTCAGTACAAAGCTAGCAGAGCACGGCATAATGAAATATAGTATAATATAGAAGTGTTGCATAGTATGATATACAGTCATATGTCACTTGGCTATGAGGATACCCTCTTTTTAAAAACATTTTTAAAAATTTTTCAGTTGCAGTTAACATACATTATATTAGTTTCAGGTGTAAACCCTGGTGATTAGGCATTATATAACTTACTAAATGATCGTTCTGATGAATCTCATACCCATCCAACACCATACATAGTTATTAGAATATTATCCCCTATGCCGTGCTTTACATCCCCATGACTATTATATAAAAGCCAGTTTGTACCATGAGGCTACCTTTTGAGCAATGCGTCCTTAGGCGATTTCATCGTTCTGTGGACATCACAGACAGCGCTCACACAAACCTAGATGGTATATCCTACTACCGTAATTGTGGGTGCTATACTTTTGTAGGACTGGTAGCACAGTAGGTTTGTTTACACCAGTATCACCACAAATAAGTGAGTAGTTGTAGTGTAAACCCTGACTGTGGGCTTTTCTTTTTGTCCACCAAGTGCCTGGTGTAAGCTTCCATTGCCAAAGGCATCCTTTTCGAAGAGATATGTGCTTCAAAGAAGTCTGGAATAAACACAGAGTCCACCTCACTAGATAAAGAGTCAGGCCATCTCCCCGGCTGAGGCTCCTTTGTTTGAGAGATGTAGGTTGATTTGGATAACTGATTATTTGGGCCACTTGTTATATTTTTCTTGTGCTTTACATTCACCCTCGTATGTTTTAAATTAACTAATAACAACTGAACTGCAAAACAGCCCCCTCCTCCCTTATGCTTCACCCCAATAAAAGCAGCACCCCAGGTCTCTGCACTCTTTCTTCCTACCTGTAATCAATATTGCTGTGTTCCCGCTGGTGTACCTGTATAGCCCAGGGCCTGTGAGTAATAAGCTTTTTTTTTTTTTTTCAAAGTTCTCTAACGGTTATTGCCGAAGGTCATCTTGCAATGTAATAAGGACCTCAGGGTTGGTCCAGTTTAACATACACTTAGAAAGAGGAGCTGTCTGTGGAAAGGTCACTGGGGCCCAGGTGAGTGCCCCCAGGCATTTCTAGCAATCACATTACTATCCATAGACTGAGACCAGCACAGAAGAGTAATACATTCCACTAAGACCTTATCATGGCTACAGTATCACTAGGCAATAGGAAGTTCTGGCTCCATCGTAATCTTCTGGGACCACAGATGTGTATGTGTCTGTCGTTGACTGAAATGCCATTACGAGGTTCATGATAGTAGTATAGTATAGAATAGCATGGAATGTCATTGAATGGTATAATATGGTATAGTAATGTATAGGATGGTATAGTGAAGTACAGTATAGTATGGAATCATGGAGAAGAGTATGTAATGGAGCTCTTAAGTCCAATATTCCTATATCAACCGCATGTGAAGCGGATGCTATTGTTATGATACTCCAGTTTCCAGTATCGTCATGAAAAAAATAAGACAGGTGAAGAAGCGCAGGTGGGAAGTAATGGAGGCAGGGCTGGACTGCCCAGCAGCTGGTGTCAAAAGCTGGAGCCAGTGTTCTAGAGTATTAAATTAATATTTTTATTTACAGTGTCTGAAGAATATCCCTACCTTGCAGTGTCCTTCATGAACTCAGAAATCAATTGAAAAGAGGACATGTATAACATGTTTTAAGTAAGCATGGATTATGGTCTGTCCTGCATGAAGCAGTTCAGATTCTTTGGAAATTAAAGTCATATTTTTGTGTTCGTATGCACCTGTGTATTATCCAAGAGAGGAAAATAAATAGAGGATTCCAGCTTCTCCTTTCAGTTCATTTTGCACCACGCAGTTAATTAAGATTTATATTTATTTTCAACATTGTCTTTTAGCTTTTTTGATATAGTTAGCTGGGTACTTTAATAATAGCTGGCTTCTAAGTAATTCTAGAATTCTAGGGTCATAAAACTAAATCATAAAGACCTTAGAGATTATCTGATGAGGTTCAAACCTGCTCCATTAACAGGGAAAGAAAATGCCCCTTCAGTTACAGAATAAACCTGGCTGAAATGTCCCTGGGGAAAATGTAAATGAGAAATGTTGGAATAACATACCATATTGCAAAAAGGAAATTTCTTTTTTTCCCCCTAAAAACAGATGTGATATAAAAATGGGATTTACATCTGTGCAAACTCCTTCTGGCGAACTTCAATTAGAGATTTAAAAATGAAAACAAACTCAAGATGTTTTATATGTGAAAGGAAGGGAGGAAGTAATTTTCTACTTTGGCAACCCCAGAACCATATTTGGCCAGCTCGCCTGGGGTATGATATGTATGGGATGGAAAACTCATGGCTCACCCCTTGATCTGAGGTCCCTGAGAAACTTAAGCCACTGTTTTGTAACCCTTTTTACTGGTGAAAGGTTCAGTATTTATTGATTTTTATCAAAATTGCCCACTTCCCTACCACATGCAGTTTTGTTTTTATTGATTTTGAGCCAAAAATTCCAATGAGTGCCAGTCTAAGGAGGAAATGTCCACATGTCCTGGCCTGCCCTGGGCAGTGCCGAGTTATGTCTGTTATCCAGAAGTAACTAATAATAGTGACCCTTTTATGGCTAATAAGTTACATATTGACATTCATTCAGATTCTAATCCAGGTGCATATGTGACCATTAACTCTTACCTCTTCAGTAGAATTTTGTGGATGATTTTATTTACCTGTGAGTGGGTGGGCATAGACTGAAAGTGAAACCAGAAAAGTCGGAGTTCATGCTGCCTGTCACTGCCAGAACCAATACGCACAGACACGGACTGACTCTTTACAGGCGTTGTATTCAGGTGGTTGGTGATCTGAGAAGATGGCAGGTTATATACACTAACAGGCTATCTTACATTTCCTTCAAGACAGCCTTTTCATAAGGACAAAAAAGTGTAGGTGAGGGATTTAGAATTCAGGAAAGAGGTTAATCAAATAAAAGCTGCAGTCTGGTAATTTCCCTAACATCCTTTCATCCGTTGACCGGTGCTTTTCTATCTGTGTTCTGTGTCCTGGTAGATTTTCTTTATCTGTGTTCTGGGCAACAGGGTGTCTCTTTCTGGGACACAAGGGCTCAGGTGCCAACTTGATTGCTACTCTTCAGGGGCACAAAGGTTGACTTGCTTGTGGTCTCCTGGAGTCAGGGTGGGCCACACCTTCAGTTCTGAAACAATAGCTTTTTACATACATTAACTATTAAGCTTACTAACTATTACCTTAATCTAGAAGTTTCCAACTCTTGAGTTCTCCCCTCAAAAGATCAATGGACCTTCAAATTCTAGTTATACACTTTCAGGAGGGCTTAAAAGTTTTCAGGTGGAAGTAACAGAAAGTTGGGAGTGATCATCAGTCCTGATCTTTTGTAATATGTTCCCCTGAAACAAGGTATGTGCGTGGGTGGTGAATGAGGAAGAAAACTTCCATGAGAAAAAGAAGTAGTACAGTTTGTGCTGAAAGAGACTCGAGGCTCATTTACATTCTCTTTTTCATTTGTCAAACATTTAAGGAGCATCTATTTGTATTAGGCACTGGGAAAGTAAGACATAGTCCTACTATCAAGGAATCCTTGTTGAGTGGTAGAGAACGCCAAGTAAAATAAATCAAGGGAATTTGATAATTCAACATGAAGAGCTAGGGATGTGAGTCAAAAAGAACTTTAGGGAGGGGGCTTCTTAAAATGATATTTGAAAGGTTACTTGAACTGCAACTTGAAAGATATGAACAAGTTAACAAAACTGGGATTGAGGGGATGGGAAAGAATACCAGGTAAGGGGAATAGGACCTGCAAAGGCATAGAGGTATAAAACAGTATACCATATTTTGCTGTGCATAATGCACACTTTTTTTGCCTAAATTTTTGAGGGAAAAATAAGGATGTGTGTTATATATGGGTATAATGATTACATACCTTGGGTATAATAATCCCCTGTATAATGCACATAAAAACATGGGTATACATTATACACAGCAAAATATGGTATATCAGTTAGGTTTTGCTGTGTAACAAACTTCTCCTAAATCAAACAGCAACCTTATACTTCTGTGGGTAGTCTGAGGTTCTTTTTTCAGGGCAGTCTTGGCTGATAACTTCTGGGCTTGGTCATGCATCTCTAGATGACTAATTTGATTTTTTTTCTCCCCCACCTTCAAAGGATGCAACATAGATTTGTCTGTAGGAATTGATAACTCCATTCCTACAAGACAAAATCAGGAGAAGCTTCAAGAGCTACTGCCAGAGCTGATGGAACAGTTGGCCTTTCTTCCTAACATCAGCTGTAGTGTTCCTGGTCAGATCAACACGAAGTTTCGCTACTTGGTTCCTGATGCAAATGGCCGGCCTATCTTTGACTCAGGCTTTGATAAATATAGTAAGGAAATCATTCAGAAGTTCTTGGTTCATCAGTTTGCCAAGAGCAACAGTATGGATGCAGACTTTTTGCTATCCTTGGGAGATAATGCTATCATCTCCTCTTCTGCTAATGTGAAGGTAATGAATGCTGAGAAGGCAAGGCAAGTCAAAGAGCCATCCTGCAGCGTCTGGGTGGGAGGAGGTGGGGATAAGGTTTTCGGAACTGAGGCCAACTCAACTGTTGGTCCCTGGAGATTTTATGTAAAGAAAAACCATAGTCTTATCCAGTAAAAACCAACAAGAGATGTACTTTGATGAGTCAACAGATATGTACTAAGCCCTAGAGGCTCTGTGCTGAATAACGCCAGCAGGGATGAAAGGATAAAGTCCCCTCAAGTCACCCACCGTTGAGTCACCTAGGCTGTTCCATGGAATAATCCATTCCAAAGACCACTGGAAGGTATCTGAGATTTCCTGGTTCCTTATGGTCGCTGAATGCCATGTAGAATAGGGCCCATTACTTTTGCAGCGAGCACACTGAACTGCCTTCAGTGATAGCGATGGCTCTCCAGTGCAGCCTGCCTCTTCCCTTCTTAGTGCCTCAAAACTTTCCACCCCCAGAGGTCCACAGAGATTGCAAGATCTCATGTGACATTTATTAAGAATACATACATTTGACGTCTCCAAGCTTTAAAGGTTACATTTATTTTTCCCTTTGGTCGTGCATCCAATGAATGTATTTCTTGACTGGTATAATTCATTTTTTAAAATTAAAATTTTCTATGAGTAAAGGTAACACATTAATTGTAGAAAATGCAACAGTTTTTTTCTGGTATTTTTTACATTGATAAATAAAGATGAATATTGCAAGACAATTTTTGGAAGGTATTTTTAAGGGGACATGTTAAGCTGGTCCAAATTCTTTTTCTTTTTTTTGGTGGGGGGAACTGAGGGCGAATTGAAGTAAACATGAATGTGTAATAGAATAACAAATGGGTAAAAGGGAACAGGGTGAAAGGCTGGATACAACCAGGAAAACTAACCTTATTCTTGCATTTTAAAGAAATGTGCAATTTATAGCATCCATCTTCTCCATTCCCTTTCCCTCCTCCCCTCCCCCCCTGCCTCCCTCCCCATCACCCTTCCTGTCTCCTCTCTTCTCTATTTCTCTCCCTCCCCACTTCTTCCATCCCCTGTCCTCCACCAAACAGGTCCTTTTAGTGTTTACAGATGGACTGGATGATGACTTAAAGAGACTGAAGGAAACATCTAAGATTCTCCGCGGCAAAGGCAAGTGCATGGAGTTGCCCTGCCTGGGCCTCACTCCTCTCCCATGGTGCGAGGTGCACTGGACTCTGTGAAGCCTCCTGTATGCTAACCCAGCTGAGAGGGGCACAGTACCCACCAGGCTATTATTACCCAGTCTCCCTCTTCATATGCTCCCCCCATTCCTAACACTGACTAAGGGGCTTTCTGAGACAGGACTGTCCAAGTACCAGCCTGGCAACTCTTTTTGAGGGCGAGGTCAGGAGTGAAGGTGCAACTCCTGCTCCATGGTGAGTGGGAGCCGATTGCTCTTTTATGCTGCCTAGGAGTACACATGCCTCTTTGACCTAAACTCTGGAATCAGCCTGAATCTGGACTTTGCTCTTTCTACTGCCCTTTCTCCCTTGTTTACTCCCTAATTCTTCCTCCTTTTCTATCTCCAAGGGCTACTGATAATCTATGTGGCATCTTTGTGAAATTAGAAAAAGGTGCCCAGTGCCCTGGCGGGTGCCATCCTGTGCCTGGGCACCTGGCTTGGTGAGTGGTGTGCTGGCTGCATTTCCGTGTCCACCAGCTCCCTAGTGGGGTGGCCCTGGGCAGTACCTCTGTACAACTGTGCCGGGTTACCCTGGCTAGTCCCAGATTTTGCTGCATAGTCTCAGGCCAACTCAGGATGAACAACCAGCAACATGACTTGTTCAAGCTCCCTTCCTCCTTTTCCCTTCTCAGTGGGGTATGTTCAATGTGTTCTGGGAATGACGTTTTCCCTTGGTTAACAATGTGTTGGAATATTTTTTTATTACAATTTGTTCCCAACTAACTTACCACATAGACGGCTACTGGAATTTTAAATTGTTGCAACTTTTCTGGGAGAAATTTGGGAGTCTATGACAAAAGACTGCAAACTTTGCCTGTGCATTAGATGAGCAATGCCATTTCCAGGAATTTATTTTCAGGAATAATTAAGAATATGTATAACAATTTTTAACCACAAGATTGTTAAACAACTTTCTTGCCAATAGCAAAACCAAATGTGTGTGTGAATTTACTGTTTAAAATATTAACATTTGCTCTGAAATTCTAGAAACAGTAATTTCTAGTCAAGTTTGAAGGGTCCTTGTTCATTTGTTCTTTATTACGTGGACAAATCCAGATGATCTGTTAGCTCCTGATTCAGTAGAATAACCTAGGTTATACTGTAATAGCAAATAACCTCCAAATGTCAGTGGTTTATAGAAGCAAGAGTGTATTCATTTTATGCCTGATGCTCACACATATATGTTGCATGCTTATCACTCAAGGACCCAGGCTGAAGGAGGGGTCTATTCCTGTAGCAGGGGAGAGGAAATTAGGCAAATTGTTCCCTACTCTTAAAATTTCTCCAGGGAGTGATGCATATCACTCTGTACACATTTAATTGGTCAGAGCAAATCATATGGACAGTTCTAACTTTCATGAGATAGGTCATATTTTCACAGGGAAGGAACTGAGGCTTAATGAGAGTTTATAACTTTCCCAGAGAAGCAAAATCCTATCATGTGCCCTTAAGGAGAGGAAGCAGAATATTCATGAACAGTTCCAATCATGCCACAGTTACTGAGAGTAAACCAGAAATCTGCACCAGGAATGGGTTTTAAAGGATGTAACAACACAATAATGGGTGAAAACCCTCTGTGAAATAAAGAAATAGGGACTGTAAAAGAATTATGAGAGTCCTTTGTGGTTCCACCTAACTGCTTTACTTTCAGCAGCTGGGATTGAAAGGTATCAGACCAATTCTTCAAGAAGGAATGCTATGAGCTAGTTTTGATTTTAACAAATATAGGAAGGGTGGGATGGTGGATGAATGTCTGGGGCCCAAACAAAGACCATTCAAAAGACATGCAAGTAAGTTGCCCACCTGCTGGTATCTTGAAGGATTCTCTGCACTCCTCATGATTGGCCTGGAAGGTGTACACAAATTGGAAGAGCTTCAGGAGCTAGAATTTGGCAGAGGATTTTCATATAATCAACCTCTGAGCATCACACTGCAATCCCTCCCAAGCACCTTAATGAAGCAACTTGTAAGTATATTTTTAAATGCCATCCACAGGGTTTTAAAAGCCCTGATGGAATGAATTTTGTATCCTTAGTGTATAATGTGATATAGGTTAACAGATGAACAAAGTCATGTGAAATGGATTCTGTCTTTCAGGACACAGCTGTAGAAAGAACATGCTGCCATACTTATGCCAAGTGTATTGGAGAAGAAGGGCACAGAGGTGATGTTGGGAGCCCTGGGAAGAAGGTGAGAATTTTCTTGGTGTGGATGGGGAAGGGAAAAAGATGACATTTCAAGTAGATGACTACATACCAGACTGTTATATCTTCAACACAGTTTTTCTAATTCTACCCTCTTAATAAACCTTTGAGAAAACTGTTATTTAATGGGTTTGAAAGGGAGGCTCAGAGATGGAACATCACTTTCCCAAAGTTGCACAGTTATGAAGAGGCAATTTAGAATGTAAGCTGTTGTTTATCTGACTCACATTCTTTCCATTCTATTCTGCTACCTACTTACATTTATTTGACAAAGATTTTCATAGATTCTCTCGCTACACAGAAGTTTTTACTTGTCTCCAAAATGTTCACTTATCCATCATCTGCTTTCTTTACGGCAGTCAATGAGCCTTGCCCTCCTATCTACCCTCTTATTCAACAGCATTAAACCTGAAGAAGAAAGCAATCATTGTTTACATATCTCTGTTAACTCTGAGTTAAGTGATGGGAAAATTACTACAGCACACTTTTAAGGGAGAATATCTCATTAGAAATGACCCTCAGACATTCAGGGACACAAAGTTCCATTCTCATAGGGATTTATAGCTTCCTGATGGGAGTATAGTCACAAATCCACGTGTAAGGGTGAATCAGATACCTTGGCTTCGTCCATCTTTTTACATATGCTCTTTATAAGGTTTTCCATGAGGTTGTTGGAATGAGCTCTTACTGACTTTGGGGATCAATTTTAATTTAGAATAGTATAAAGTGTGTAATTATTTCTTTGAAAAATAAATTGTAGTTAAGCCTTAGCACTAGATTATCCTCCCGCCCCCTTTCATATTCTTAAACATCAGACTGGAGAATCAGAAAATCAAGCTTGGGAACCTCTTGACATGTTTTGTTTTGTTTTGTTTTGTTTTCAACCTATGGGCTATGCCACAGAGGTCACAGATGGGAGAGTTTTGAATTTTTGACTTCTTTGTCCCTTCTGTTTGTTAAAATTCAATGGTTAGTTGAATTGTTGATCTCAAATGGACTGTGGCTCCCATGTTTTATTGACCAGTTTTTAGACTAAATAAACACATCTGGTTATAAAATGGCAAGCCAAACTCTCTTGAAAAGAAATAGTGTGTGTTTTTAGGTATCTAAAAAGAAGTTAAAAAAAAAAAGAAAGCTAAATAGCTGAGTCACACAGAAATAGGTAATGTGCTTTTGCTTATTGATGTTTTGTAAAACAAGGTCAAAGCCCTCTTTAAAAATAAATTTTCCTTAAACATTTAACTAGAACTAGTTTTGATTTGGATTTTCAGATTAGAATGGCTTAAAAAGTTATTTTAGAAGAATAAAAATAGGTTGATGTACCACTTATATTAAACCAAATGGGTATGAAAGTTTTCACTGTAAGATAAACAAGCAATATTTGTTTCTCTATGTCTCTGCACATTGTGCTCAACAGTGAGTAGATTCTCAATTAAATGGCAGCTCAATGAAACATCAATCAATTAGCAACAATTTTCATTTCATGTAGCTTTGAGAAATGAAGAATTTAGAGCCTAAGTGATTTATTTTGATTTCCTTTCCTCTCAGGGAGAAAAGGGGCCTGACGGATTACTTGGCTATCCCGGCGAAGAAGGTGGACATGTTAGTACTGAATCTTATTTTCTTCTTTGATGGAATATGGTAAAATAAATCACATATTAGCAATACTTAATTGCATGTAAGTCATCAAAGTTTTTATCATCTATGCTATTTAAAATGGGTTTAAAAATAAAATGGGTTTAAATTATCTATGTAAAAATAACCATTTATTATAACAAATGTCAGGTGGACAAATTGTGTAAAGATATATAGCCTCTAAAAGGTGTTTAATGAGGAAGTATAGTCGTTTTGTTTTTTTAATGAGTGAATTTCTGATAACCGAAAATGTGACCTGTATTTAATATGCATGCATATAATAGGAGTTGTTAATGTGAACTAATTTGCAGGTTATTTGTTATTTTGAATGATGTAGCCACGTTTGTAAGTGATTTAACTAAGTAAATTGAAGAGAATCAAAGCCATTCTTATAAGATGATCACTCAGATGCTTTCCTGAGTGGCTGAAAAGGTGGTGGAGTTTTAGATACCCACTCATGGTTTGCATAGAGCCCTGGATACTTCGCTAGCAAGGGAAAGTTATCGATCACGTGACTGGCTGTGGAGGAAAATGTATATTATAGAGTGAATTGTTAGCTAGAGGAATGAAATGTAGTAGGGATCATCTTTATTACATCATACAAATACCAAAAGGATTTCAAAGCCCCATTGTTTTCATTGTTTCCATCATTTTAAATTATGGAAAACCACTTTGCCACAGGTGTACTATTTTAAAATTAATTTGTATACATTACTGGTTCTCAAGCTTTTTGGTCTCAGGATAAACCTTTACACTCTTAAAGATTACTGAGGACCTCGAAAAGCTTCGGTTGATGTGGTTTATGTCTGTTGTTATTTATATTAGAAGTTAAAACTGAATTTTAAATGATCTGTTTTATTTTAAAATAACAAAAATAAAACCTTTAACATAAGTGAAATATTCCTTTATAACAAATGATATTGTCCAAAACAAAATATATTAGTGAGGAGAGTGGCGTTAAAAAAAAAATTGCGAATACCATTAAAGCCTAGCTTATTCAGCTAGATTCATATATTTGTTTCTTTATTCAGTCTGCTGTTATGTCACTTGCTATGTGGCTCCTTAAAACCTCGACCATCTACTTGAGAGAGCATAAGAGTAAAAAATAAAATAACATTTTAGTGTAATTGGGAAAATAATTTTAACTTTGTGAGCATCCCCTCCCAAGGGTGTTGGGAACCTGAGGGGTCCTTGGACCAAACTTTTCAAACTGCTGACATGTATAAGCATTAGAGTTCCCATTGCTGCACTTAGAGTAGCACATCTTTTTTTATTCTGAACATTTAGGCTGCCTGAACTTGGAAAATAAGCAGAAGGTAGAGAAAAATGCAGCTGCTGAGACCTATGTAAGCTGAGCCATTTCTTTGATTACATTTATGGGAGAATCGCTCAACTTGTATTTTGCCTCGGCATGCATAGTCTTAGATGTTAGAAATACATTCAGAAAGGTGAATTGTGGATTTTTTCTATTTTGTTTAGCAGTGGTAAAAATATTCCTTCTGGTTTTTATGGTGTTTTTTAAAATGTCCATTAAGTGTTATTTTATTTTTTTCTGTTTGGCCTATGGTTCAGCGAGCCTTGCCAAAGTTCAGAGGGTATGCTAAGGTCTGACGAACCCATTAAGATCACTGACACCAATTTCAGACAAACAGGGAAAGAAAGCCCTGTCTGCTGAGGGTGGGAGACGATTTTTGTCCTCTTCTCTTCTGTCTTAATACCCTAAAGTCAAGATATTTCAAAAAGATCCTCTAGTGCATAGCAAGATACATAATGTGAATGACGTAGAGGAACACCCTTTTATCAGCCACCGTGTCTCTTTCTGAGATTTCAGTTACATATGGTCCCCCACTGTTGGAAATATTAAATGGAAGATTCTAGAAATACACAATGGATACATTTTAAATTCTGCACTGTTCTGAGCGACGTGATGAGATCTCGTGCTGTCCCTTGTGAGAGGTGACATCCTGGTGTCCGGCATCTCTACATTGTAAATGCCCCCCGCTTGTTAGTCCCTGAGTAGCCATCTGGGTTATCAGACTTCCCCGGCATCACAGTCCTTGCATCCGGGTAACCCTTATTTCAGTTAATAATGGCCTCAAAATGCGAGAGCTGTGATACTGGCAATTCAGAGACGCCAAAGACAAGCCATAAAGTGCTTCCTTTAAGTGAAAAAGTGGAAGTTCTTGACTTACAAAGGAAAGAAAAAAATCACACGCTGAAGCAGCTTAGATCTATGGTAAGAAAAAAATCTGTGAAATTGTGAAGGAAAAAGAAATTTGTGCTAGTTTTGCTGTCACACCTTAAACTGAAAGTGTATCTCATCTGGTAGGCACTTTATCATCTCACATCATTATAAGAAGATGGGTGAGTACAGAGAATAACATATTTTGAGAGAGACCACCCACATTCACATAACTTTTATTACAATGTATTGTTATCCTTTTTCTATTTTATTATTAGTTATTATTAATCTGTTATTGTGCCTAATTTAGAAATTGAACTTCATCATAGGTATGGACGTGTAGGCAATACCAGTATGTATAAGGTTCAGTGCTTTCTGTGGTTTCAGGTATCCACTGGGGGACCTTGGAATATATCCCTGGGAGATGAGGGGAGAAGAATACTGTATATGATTTTATACAATTTAAATTTTTATAGTAGAACTCTAAAGAACATAAAAAGAAACAGGTGAAGTAGATTTTAATAGTATATTTCATTTAACCCAATATATTCTAAATATAATTATTTAAACATGTAATTCATATAAAAATTGATAGGATATCTTACTTTTTAAGTATGATGTCCTTGAAGTCCAATGCATATTTTATATTTATAGCACATCTCAATTTGGACAGACCATGTGTGGCTCGTGGCTACTGTATTGGATAGTGTACCTCTAGTAGGTCCTGTTTGGTCACCAAGAGAAATTGACTTCAAAATATTTTGTCTTCTGAGTGGCTTTTAATGCCATTTCTCCACAAATCAAGTTGGATCAGGTTGCTCCACCGCAAAGACATCTTTGCAGATGGGCAGGTTTCATTACAGGGCTCTTAATTTGTATTGGGTTGGCCAAAAAGTCCATTTAGTTTTTTCTGTAAAATGAAAGACACATTTTTCACTTTCACCAACAACGTTATTGATTTGCATATTTTGAGTATGTTGGCTATCTCCCTTGTGGTATAACGTTAATTGTTCTCAATTAATGTTTTGATTTGATCGCTAGCAATAACTGGTCTACCTGACCTTGGAGCATCATCCAGCAAGAAACCTCCAGCAAGAAAGTTTGCAAACCACTTTTGACATGTTCAATCAGTCACAGCACCTTCTCCATAACACTGTACAAATCTCTCATTTTTTTTTTTGCGTTTCAGTAGTGTTTTTACCTCTCTTGAAATAATAAAGCATAATATGCCAAAAATGTTACACATTTTCTTCCCTCTTCAGTATCAAAATGGCTACACAAAAATTCACCAATTTTGATAAGTTTTTTTTTAAATGCGTTCTGATACGACAGCTGTCACACAATACGATCTAACAAAATTGTTTTGATTGAGGTTAAAGACAACTAAGTGCTACTAGAGCCATGTTCAGAAAAAACCAAATGGAACTTTTTGGCCAACCCAATAGGTTCAAATTGAAAGTTCATAAGGACAAATAACTACCTTCCCCCACCCCGCAAAAAACCCTTAGTGGTATACAACAGCTGTCACTTTTACTAAATTCTCGGGCTCCGTGGGTGAGGGAAGTAAAAAGGGAGCAACAGGGGGATTGTCAAGGGGCAGCTGACGCTGAGCTGACGAGGCATCTGGAGCTGGAGGGCCCGCTGGGAGGGTGGCTTCCTCTCCACCTTTGGCCCTCATCTCTGTTGGGAGGGCTGGCCTGGCTGGCACTGCAAGAGCCCGAGGTGGAAGTCGATGGCATGTAAGAGCTGGGCCTAGGAGGCAACATCCAAGCCAGCGCATCCGTCCTGAGAGTGAGCATTCCAGGAGACTAAGGCTGAAGCTGCAAGGCTCCTGAGAAGCCTCAGAAATTAGGCGGTAACTTGTCTGTCACATTCTATTGGGTACAAACAAGTCACTACATCCAGACCAGATTCAAGAGTCCAGTGGGGGCATTAGGCTCCCCCTCCTGCTGAGGGCGTGGCAGGGTCACAGAGCAGAAGAGCATGGGTATTTTGTCGTGGGCATCTTTGGAAAATATAACCTGCCAGACTCATGAATTCTATATATTTTCAATATTAAGCTGTTATGAGATGGTGGTTTAAATGTGCATTGATTACACATCAAATAGTCATCTCAAATTAATGAGATTATCTAAGGTCACAAAAATAGTTACGTAAGTTCAATAGTAACAAAAATAGTTAATATTTGTTCACATCTTCATATGTGGCATATATATGGCTAAACATTTTGTATGCATTTCCTCATTTCATTTAAAAAATAAGGTATCATTATTACTATTCTCATGTCTCATAAAGTAACTTGAACCAGCGCAGCATTTGAAAAGCTGTTGGTGAGGTTACTCTTTCCATTACGTCATGGCTGGAATTGATAGCTTTAAGCAATTTGTGAGCGAAGAGTAGACTAGTTTTTAAACATGACAGAGCTTGCTATCTGAATGAGAAACACAATAAGCACAAATTTTGTTCTCAAAACAATTTAACATATGTGTTCATTCTAAGGTAATTCCCTTTTTTCTCATGAGAATATCCCAGAAATGCTTTTGCCTTCTTTGAATACATGGACTCTTAGGGATATAGGTGAACTAGACAAATTTCTACTTATAATATTTAACTTATTTAGTTACATATACACATTTAAAAGTTTTTTACTATGTAAAATGATATATTAAGTTAGAAATTCTGCTTTTTTCTTTTTAATATTGTATCAACCATTTAATTAAAAATTATTCGCATGTAGTTTCTGTATCAGTTTCTTCAGCATTACTGGAGCCACTCTTTGGAAACCTCTCACCCAGTGTTCTAGAGTATATTGTGTCTGCTTCTGTCTAAGTTGTTTAAGGTAAACCTCTTTTGAGTCTGTTTAGGAAGGCTGTCATTGCAAATTTTATTTCCAACTTCCAAACTCATTGCCTCATTTTTCTTGTAAGGATATTTTTATGTTCTCCACAATATAATCACAAATTCCAGTGTTTATAAAAATGATTTTTTAATTTCTAAAAAAGATTTTATTTATTTGTTTTTAGACAGAGGGGAAGGGAGGAAGAGAGGGAGAGAAATATCAATGCGTGGTTGTCTCTCACACGCCCCCCTACTGGGCACTTGGCCCACAACCTAGGCATGTGCCCTGACTGGGAATTGAACTAGTGACCCTTTGGTTTGCAGGCCGGTGCTCAATCCACTGAGCCACACCAGCCAGGGCTAAAAATGATTTTTAAAACTCTTGTTTGCATACTATCTAACATTTGAAATTGTAAAGTCTGGCTCTCAAATATAATAAATAATAAATTATAAACAATTTCTTTGCTATCTTTTTTTAACTGATCTGTTAGTTGACCTCCATAAACATCCCCAAAATACCTCAAATAAATACTGACTCTGTGTCAATATTGTGCTGTTCAAAATTAATAAAGAGAGCAGTTCAGTAGAGAGAGTACTCTGAAATATGAGAAACTTTGTGGGGACTCAAATTTAAGAATACTCTTTTTTCCCCCCCTGTGGACTAATTTGAGGAAAACGCACACCCAATTATGGATATATATTATAGCAACTGGAACTCTAGAAACTGAGAATAGAAGTCAAAAGAGTGGAATTTTTTCTTCATAAATTTCTTTTTAATTAAAAGATATTTTAAATTGTGGTAGAATACACATAAAATAAAATTTACTGTCTTAACCACTTATAAGTGTATGGTTCAGTGGTTTTAAGTACATTCACACTGTTGCACAACTATCACCACCATCCGCCTCCAGAGTACCTTTCATCTTGCAAAAACGACACTGTCGCCATTAAACATGAACTCTCCACCCTCTCCCCTACCACCCACTCGCAACCCCCACTCTACTTTCTGTCTCTGTGAATTTGGTTTCTCTAGGTGCCGCATTAAGTAGAATCAAGAAGTATGTGTCTTTTGGGTTATTTCACTTAGCATAATATTCTCAAGGTTTATCCATTTGGTAGTAGGTCAGAATCTCTTTCCTTTTTACGGCTGAATAAATCTATTGTATGTATATACCACTTTGGTTTATCCATTCATCTGTCAGTGAACCCTTGGTCTGTTTCTGCCTTTTGACTATTGGAAAGAATTCTGCTGTAAATATGACTATGTAAACATCTCTGTGAGACTTAGCTTCCAATTCTTTGGTGTATACATCTGGAGGTAGATTTTTACTTTTTTGAAAAACTACCATACAGTTTTGAATAGCAACTATAGTCTTGAATAGTCTCACTAAAAGTGTCCAAGGGTTCCAATTTCTTCACATCCTCATCAACATTTTTTTTATGGTAGCCATTCTAAGAGTGGGTTTAGTTTTAGTGTTTGGTTAAAAATAAAACTGTAAGAATTTTTCCTTGGTGTCTCTGCTTTATCAGGGACATTTGTTTTATATATAGCAACTGTTTTCTAATAAAGACAACAACCAATTGTTCATGATTGATAACACTGCATAGTGCAACATGGTACAGTAAATACGTTAGAATTAAATTTTCCAGATGAAGCTTAAACACCACACAGTGAACCAACCTGAAAATACACATAGACTAGAAAGAAGGTGGAGAAAGCAGACAGTTATTTGACACCTACTGTATGTTAGGCCCTGCATGAGGCATTTTGTATACATTATGACACTTGATCTTCACCACAATCCTACTGATACATGTTAACACTTTCATTTTCTAGATACAGAGGTAGAAACTCAGAGAAAGTAAGTGGTTTACTCAGGTCAGAGTTGGAGAGGATTGGAGATGCGCTCAAACCCACGTCTGTCTGAGGCCAGAACCAGTGCTTTTCTCATGCTCTCTTGCTGTCTGTTAAGTATAAAACCCCTAATTTGTTCAAGCCTTATTTATGAAGATTTATGAAGCACTTTCCATACGGTATCTTATTCATTCACTACAACAATCTTTGATGGTTAGAATCAGTATTATCCAGATCCACATTTTATAAATGGAGAAAATTGTAATTCTGGGTAACTCTACAGAGTCATGTACATGCCCAAGCTTACAAAACAAGTTGGAAATAGAACTTGGGCTCAAACCCAGGTTCTTTCATTCTAGACCCAGAGCACTTCTCACTTTTTCAAGTTCCCTTTTGCTGTCCAGGAAAACTTATCTAGGGAAGTTACCCAACTTTGCTAAGTAGAGGTTAGATGTTATGTTTGTAGACCCTGCTTTGATGAAAGCTCATGTTGTATATAGTACTTTCTAATACATATTTGATCAGTTTGGCAAAAGGCATGATATCTACCACTCCCTTCCTATCCAATACTTAGATCCGAAAGTTATACTCAATATAATTTAAGCAGTAATTCTTTAAGTTCTGACTGGATGTCCACGGTGTGCCAAACACTGTGCTTAGGGCTGGAAACCCAGAGATAAAGAAAATGAGATGTTTTCCTTGTAATGAAGAAGCTCCCAACATGGCAGAAAACAATATAACACAAAAACAATAACACACAATAGAGCTTCTCAGAAGGGGAGGTGACAAAGGATCTATACCTTAGGAATGGGCAGGATTTCACCTGGAAGAGAAAAAGTCAAATAGTGGCTTATTCTTTGTGAGACTACAAGAAAACCATCTAGTTTTAGCTGCCTGAAGAAATGTTCAGACACACGTCTCTTTTGTTTGAATGCTGAAGTTTTGCCCGTGTGGCTTGACCGAATTGATAAAAAATGTAGATAATTTGGATTTCCAAGATTTGGGGTCACCAATATTTGTAGCTGATGGATGAACATTCTGATTGCCTTGCATGTGGTCCAATCAAGTCTCTGAGAATGTACAAGTAATTGTAAGGACTGTGCCATAGTTTAGTCATTCTTATGGTCATCATTGTTGCATTGAATCAGTTGGGTTTTGAGAGAAGTCGTTGCTTGATTGCCTCTATGTGCATCTTTATTTCACAGGGAGAAAGAGGCCCCCACGGTTTACCTGGACCCCGAGGTGAGGAAGGATGCCCTGGTGTGAGAGGACCCAAGGTGAGTGTGACCTCAAACTGTGGAATTCTTCCTACATCTCTGTTTCATCCCTTGAGTCTGAGGAAAACTTTAATTCTTCAACATAGGTATGGTAGCTTGGCTCCTCCTGAGATGGAGGGTTTCCCAGAAGTTGAGCCTGAGAAAAGGATGCAGTGCACATAGTTTGCTGGGAGGTGACCTCAGTAAACACATGTAGGGAGTAGAGAAGTTAAACAGGGATGAAGGTGGCCTAAAAAGGGTCCATTATCAATTAGATTCCCACCAACGGTAGACAGAGTTTAATCCTGCCGAGGAACTCTGGAAGCCAGTGTTGAACATGCACCTCTGTGTTATCCCATCAAGGGTCCAGGGAGCTGGGGTATTCACGCACCGAATCCTATCAGGCATCAGCTGAGGGCTGCTCCTGGAGGGCAGTAATTCCTCAGCACTTCTGGACTCTTCTAGTACCAGGAAAAACCCTCAGGAAGAGAGTCACAGTGCTGGCAGTTGGAGGGTGGGCTTGAGAACACTGAAATTTTCAATTGTCCCTAAAGGGGATAATTGGCGGGGCCTCCTTTCTGAGTGGTTGCATTCAATGTCTTTTAACCTTCCAGGTTTAGAGAATTTCCTTTAAGAAGGCCAGGGGGGAAAAAAAAAAGTTCTACAACCCCAGAGTTCTATAGATAGTTTTTCTGACCAAAATGACCATATTCTGTATATTTTAACAAGTTACTCTTTCAATTAATTTGTCCTGTTGTTCCAAGAAGCCCTCTCCTGCTTGCTAGTAAGTATATTGCCAATTTTGTTGAAAAATGGGTGTTACAATAAGTGGTGGGTCACCGTCCCTTCCTGCTCACCCCGACTGCGTGAGGAGTCACAAGGTTGAGTTTCCCTCCCGAGACCCAAGCACAGGGAAGTGGTAGTAATCAGAGTGCTGCGATGTCCATTGCAGTCGCTGGAGAGGAATCTTCATTTTGGTCTAATAGTTGCATTTTCTTGAAACCAGAGAACTTACGGTTTTGTAAATTAGATGGTATTTTGAAAATCTAATTCAAGCTCAACTGTTTTTATTTTTCCCATCTTTAGGGCATACGAGGGTTTTCTGGAGAGAAGGTAGGTGACTTTCCTTACTCCTCTTCCACTGAAGAGTAGCTTCTTTGGGAAACAAAATACCAAGGCCATTGCTTTTCCTGTGCCTGAGCGTGGCGGGGTGGTGCTTAAAACTTTTAGGCAAAGGGATGTGTCAGATGGTATTAAACACACAACTGGAAAAAAAATATTAGTGTGGAAATTAACATCAAAGCAATAATCGTGTGCACCGCGGTCCTCTTGTCTCTAACCTCATTTTTTGCTCCACAGGGCAACGCTGGTGAGGATGGCGTTGATGGCTTGGATGGAGAGCAGGTACGGGAAGTTTCTCATTCTGTGCTCCCCCTCTACCAGTCTGGCATTTATGCTCTCTATTTATACATTTCACAGGCAGTCTAGAAATTTTAACATACAAGCTCAGCAGTGTTTAAATTTAATTTAGCTATTTGCCCTTACCTTCAACATAGAAGGACCCTACAAACTTAGCTCTAAACAGCTGCCTCCTGTATTACATATTATTGTGCAGTATTTTATTTCCATTTTGTGGCTAAAGTCTACCAATTAGACGCTATTATTATTCTGTTCTGTTGTCAATGCTTATCGAGCTTTACTCTCATATTTATCACTATTACTGGTGCCTTCAAAAGAACATGAAAAGGTCATGTTTCTTTTGCCTATGGTAGGACTTTTTAGAATTTCCTTTAATGAAGTTCATCAATTCCCTTGGCTTTTGTTTTTCTGAAAATCTCTATTTTACCCATTTTTTCTTGAAAGATAGTTCTTGGAAAACATTTTTTTTCAGCACTTTGAAATGTAATTTCATAGTTTCTTGGCGTCTGTTATCTCTTTCATTATTGCTGGGAAGAAGTTATCCATCAAACTAATTGTTGTTCCTTGGCCACCAACCTTAAAAATAATATATCAGGCTGTTTTAAAATTTCCCCTTGTTTCTAGTTTTCTGCAGTTTCAATATAATATGTCCAGGTATAGATTTGCTTTTATTTATCCTGCTTGAGACTTATCAGGCTTCTGAGTCTGAGCATTTGTGCCTTCTATAAGTTTTAGAAAATCCTTAGCAAATTATCATTTCAACATTTTTATCTTTTACATTTTCTCTATTATCTCTTTATGGGAGTCTAATTAAAAATTTGTGAGACTTTTTCATGTTATACTCAATGATTTTTAACCTCTTTTTCATATTTCCTATTTCTTTGTCTTCCTGTGCTGCATTCTGAATAATTTATTCACTTTCTAATTCACTAATCCTTATGCCACTTTGTTTAATATACCTTTCACCTGTCAGATTTTAATTTCAATTATTCTAATTTTCAGTACAAAAAGCTCTATTTCATTCTTTTTCAAATCTGCTTGGTCTTTTTAAAATAGTTGCCTGCTTTTTTTTTTTTAAAACAAGTTCTTTTCTTATTTAAATTTATTAAATATACTTATTTTTTATTCTATATATGATAGTTCCAATATCTATAGTCATTGCAAGTCTGATTTTGTTGTCTGTTGTTTCTGCTGGTTCCCCTGTCCTGGTGTCTCCCTCATGTATGTTGTGACTTTTGATTTAAACTCATTTTTTAATTGAAATTTATCTGTGGTAAGTCATTAAGTCCTGAGCTGAAGATTGTTTGCTTCTGCCACATACTTGGTGACATTACCTCTTGGGACCACTTTAAAATAAATGATCAGGATATATCCCCAGAAGTGGGATCACTAGGTCAAATGGCAGTTCTATTTTTAGTTTTCTGAGGAAACTTTATACTGTTTTTCACAGTGGCTGCACCAGTCTGCATTCCCACCAGCAGTGTACTAGGGTTTCCTTTTCTTCATATTCTGTCAACAATTGATTGTTGATTTGTTAATGGTGGGCATTCTGGCAGGTATCAAGTGATCTCTCATTGTATTTTTGATTTGCATTTCTCTGATGATTAGTGATGTAGATTTTCTTTTCACATGTCTATTGGCCATTTGTATGTCCTCTTTGGAGGAGTGTTTATTCAGACCCTTTGCATATTTTTTAATTGGGTTGTTGTCTTCCTGGTGTTGAGTTATATAAATTCCTTATGTATTTTGGAAATTAACTCCTTATCAAATATATCCTTGGTGAATATGTTCTCCCATCCTGAAACACCAATCAGAAAGAATATATGCACCCCTATGTGCAAAGCAGCATTATTTACAATAGCCAAGATCTAAAAACAACCCGAGTGCCCATCAGTAGATGAGTGGATAAAAAAAGACACAGTACATTTACACAATGGAATACTACGTAGCTATAAAAAGGAAGGAACTCTTACCTTTGCAACAGCATGGATGGACCTGGAGATTATTATGCTAAATGAAATAAGCCAGCTAGAGAAAGATGAATACCATATGATCTCACTCACATGTGGAATCTAATGAGCAAAATAAACTGATGAACAAAATAAAACCTGAGGCATGGATACATGGAACAGACAGATTTCAGAGGGGAGCAGGTAGGGGAACCGGAAGAGATTAGCCAAAGAACATACATGCATGTCCACATATGCATGGCCCATGGACACAGACAACAATGTGGTAAAGACTGGGGGCTGGTGGCTGGGGCTGGATGGAGGGAGAAAATGGGGGACATCTCTAATAGTGTCAACAATAAAAAATCAATAAATAAAAAAATTAAAAACAAACAAAAATAAAATAAATGTTCAGCACATGGGTTTTCATACCACAGTCACATCAGAGTCCTAGGGCAGCCAGTGGCTATTACTTCTGTTGATTCCTGCTTTCTCTTTATTCTGAATTCTAAAGATTTCTCTTTTTCTTTATCAGCTCATTAATGTATGTAAAATAGTTAAAAATGTATTATCTGGAATTTTAGATTGTTTTTTCAAAGGGGTGATTGTTCAGGGCATCTAGTCTGTCACATACTCAGAAATCAAATGGTAAAGAAACTTTTTACTATTGGCTAGAATGTGAAACTGTGTGAAAAAAAATTTCTGGTTTGACTAATATAACAAAGATACTTTGTATATTTATTTTTTTAGGGTAGTCATGGAATCCCAGGATCACTTGGAGAAAAAGGAGACAGGGGAAATCGGGTAAAATATGAGGATATTTTCTCTCTCATATTTCTTCTGATTACACTGATCTTTTTAAGTTTGGGGAAAGAATCATTCAGTGGCTTAGTTACTAGATTGGCAGTTAAAGGACAATAAATATTAGATGGCTATTTGGAACCTATAACTTAAGGTCTGACTCTGCTGATAGTGAAATGAATAATGTAAACAAGTTAGTTTTTTGTGCTTTAGAACAGTAATTGTTATTCCTTATCTCACAGACTTTTATGTGGCCCTGTTGCCAATGATTCAGTCTTATATCCAAGGCCTTTCACCCACATTCTTCACTAATACTGGTCAAGAAATGTCCTTCCCAGGATTAATATGTACATATGAGCAGCTATAAAATAATCACAGAGATGTAAAGTACAGTCGGGGAAGATAGTCAATAATATTGTGATAACTCTACATAGTATCAAGTGGATAGTATTGCTCGATTTGTCAGGGTGATCATTTTGTAAGTTATGTAAACTTCTAATCACTATATATGTTGTACAACTGAAACCAATATAATATTGTATGTCAACTCTAATTGAAAAATAATAAAAAAAGAAGTATCCTTTCCAGTCAAATTATACTGCTTAATGTCCCCTGAAGGTTCCTTGTGCATGCTCACCTTTGTATCTCAGTCATGTTAGGATGTTAGGTACCCCATCCTGGAATGCCTTTTCCCTGCCTCCGTCTTCAGGGCTTATTTGAATATCACTTTTTCTTCAATTTTCAGCACCTGTCTTTCCTCCTGGTGATGTCCTGGACCTCACTGACCATGTTAGTCTGAAGAGCTCTCCTGTTTCTCTATATTTTTTCAATGTACTTTGTACTATCTGCTCCACAGTGACTATGTACTGCCTCATGCTGGGACTTATATTTCTTGTAAGGGAAGGCATATGTACTCAACTCTCCCTTTCTGTGACCATGGCAGACATTACTAATCAATTATACAGCCCAAAGGATCCATCTCAACACAGTACTATAATCAGCTTTTGTTGATTGAATTAGATAAAGAGATGAGATTTATTTATCTATGTTTTTTTCCACATGGAATTAGAGTAATGCTTTACCACAAGGTATAGATTGATTTCCTGACAAATGAAACAGAAAATCACAAGAAATGGTTCTTTATTGAGGTTTAATTCCCAACCTGGAGTTTGTGGATCAGATTTTGGAGAGAGTGGAGGACACCATACTTTCTTCAAGACTGGGACGACTTTAGTTTCTATTGAACTTTGTGAAATTCAGTAAACTTCTGTCAAGTGTTTTCTATCTGTAGGGCATTTTTCTAGACATAAAAAAGGGTTCAAAGATAAATAAGTCTCAGTTATGACCAAGAAAAAGCGCATTAACTGGTACAGGAGATAAAATTTATATAGGAGGTACTATAATACAAGATAGGATAAGACAAGGCTGTAAGAATAGTGAAAATAAAGAATGAATGGGAGCACAGTGACTTGGAGAGGAATCTAGAAAAGAGTGGTATTTCTTCATCTCATCAATCATCAAGATTTACTGAGCATCTGTTGTAATTCAGGCATGACTGTAGAATAGGGAGCAAAACAGGCGTGGGTTCTGTATCTCAGAACTGACTTCTGTAGGGGAGAGAGAGCTGTTATAGAAATAATCATGGAAATAGATGTAAGATTACTGGTGAGATAAGTGCATGAAGGAGAGGTAAAAGGACAGGGGGATCTGATATAGCCTGTGCAAACAGGAAGGCTTCATTGAGGGAGTAAAGATGGAATGAAATTTAAAAGATGAATAACAACCAGATGATGAGGGAGGAAAGAAGCGGACAAGAGACCAACCTTCCACACTAAGGTCTGTGGCATTTGAGAATGGTGCTGAAGGGTGGAGAGAACTCTGGCATTCCAGAGCACACAGAAAATCAAGACATGTTTTACCCAGACCTCCATGAGAGAGACATCTGTATTCCAGATGGAGAAAAAGGAAAGGCTTAGAGTTCGTAGAACTCACAGTGGATTCAGACAAACAAGGACTCCAATTCAAAAGGTGTGGAAGGTGAGATAAAAAGTATGAAGAGTGGGAGGAAATTCTGGAGTCAATCTAATACCATATTTAGTTTTCTTTTTCTACTGCATAATCACATGGTATCAAAAGTTTCTAAGCAAGGAAAACATGTTCAAAGCTACGGGTCTGCAAGAGTATCCTGGAAGCCAGGGTCTGGGTCAGAAAAAGAAGGAACTAAAAGTTGGGCAAATCATAATATGAACCGTATGCAAGGGTCTGCACTTGGCATTTTAATTTATATTCCATTTAATCCCTGTAACAACTCTATAAGACAGGTATATCTGTTTCACAAATGAGAAAATTGTCTTAGAGAAGTCAAAGAAATTTGCCTAGTTAGTAAATTAAGGAGCAGAAGGGGAATTTAGAATTAACTCACTTCCTTTTACCATTATATCAGGCCAGGAAAGAAGTAAGGAGTCTCAAGTCATTATGAGTAGCTTCTTTTGGAGCCTAGAAAACGTTTTATTCCTTGTGTGTCTGAGACTGAGATCTCAGAGAAGAATTCCACCTCATTATTTTCAGAGTGTGGCAAACAAGCTATACTCTCCAGAACCATGTGTATATCATCTGGGGAAGGTTCTGTGGCTCTGTGGGATCCACTACACAGATATGGTACAATTAAGGGCAGGTTTTAAGAGAAGCAATCATTTGCTTTTCACGTCATAGTCTTATGACAAGTTGCTTTGGCTCTCTGGTTCCCTGTCTACAACAGTCAGGAGCTTTGGGAGTGCTTTTCTCTCTTCTATTTTTCATGAGATCTTGCTCTGCTAATGCTCTGCATGTTCATAATGGAGAGAGCCTCTCCATTTTTCTTACATGTGTTTCTGTGTGGGAACATCAAGGAGGAGTAGAAAGATCAAGGGATTTGGTAGTAGGGAGACCTGGGTTCCACTTCCCTGAGCCGCAGCTCCCGAGTTGTGCAGATTAAATGAGGCAATGCACACTTAGGATCAAGCATATCACAGATTTCCAACAAAAGTCTTCTTTTCTGTGTCCCAACCTCACCTTTTTGGCAGTGGTTGCTTTGAAGTTCGAGTACTAAATTGCTCTTTTAATTTGACTCTCACTTTTCCCTCTTAATGTTTTCTTTCCTTTTGGTAATAGGTGATTTTAAAAAGTGGCATTTTTTTTTTCTTTGCGATTCAAGGGCTTGAAAGGACCACCTGGACAACATGGAGGCCGTGGAGAGGCTGGGTTAAAGGGAGACTCGGTGAGTGGTAGTTGAAGGGTTCCTGCTGTGTTAATCTAGGGACTGGCACAGTGTTTGAGCACAAAGGCAGAGAACATGAATTATTCATTAACGAGTCATCATTCAGCCTATCTTGGTATTGTAACACATAAGAGATTTGAGAGGAAACCCATCTTATAGAAATTTTGGGTTCTTAAAGAGTTTGGAATTTTAATTGCATTGCATATTTGGGATTATTCAGTAGGTCTAGACAATGAAAATGGGTCTTCTTCAGTGTCCTTCTTTTTTTAAGAAAAAAAATCATGCTACCTATCATTTTCTTCCTGTCTTTCCTATCCATTTCCGCTAAACAACTTTTTATTTTCCCAGGGAGAACCTGGAATTGATAGTTTCATCCAAGGTGTTACAGGAGAAACGGGAAGGCGTGGGCAGCAGGTAAGGTGGTCTCTGTTTGCTCAGGGGTACAGGTCCACATGAGAAAAGTCACAAGCTGGTACAGAAGACTTGGCGTTCTGGTTGGATCAGCATAGAAAACCAGAGAGCAAACCTGTAGGAACTTATCGTCCATGGAGACAGAGCTCTGAACGTTAATCCCCACTTATATTCCTGTCCTTTCATCCTTGTCTCATAGGTGGGTGTGTGTGTGTATTTTTGGTAGAAATCTTATCACCCGCCACACTAGTAATACATGTTACTTTACTTCTTTTTCCTTGGTTTCTTCATATCCAAAATGAAAACATCAGACTCAGTGATCTCTAAGATCTTTCAAATTTTAAAATCCTCCAATTTTATAATGATGTGTTGATTTAAAAGATTCTTAGGGTCACTGCACTGCTGGCTTGCTTTCTGTCACTGCCAGTGCTGATTGATGTGAATTAGGTACTAGCTCTTTTTAAAGATAGGGTCCTGTTTAGCTCTGAAGACTAGCAGCATCCTGACAGGAGACACTGCAGAAGGAAAAAGACTTGTTAACTTGACAGACACTTAACTTGTTGGAAGCCATTTTTAGATTTTTATGTCCCAGACATTAAAATGCATGACTCTGAAAAATGACTAAAATAACCCAAGTGTCTCAGTCCTCAGATCACATTATTCCCAATTTCTAGGAATGGGGTTGCATACCAGTATGTTTACAACTGTGGAGCAACCTGTGTTTGCTTTAAACTCCAACTTGTAACCTTTGACAAAACCTTAGGACATTTCTCTTCCCTGGACTATGGCAAGTTCACAGCCATTTTATATATGTCTAGGTCCAGTTGTTAACAAGATCATTATTATGTAGCTCTGTGAGAAAACTGTCACAACTTGCTGCAAGATTTTCTTATTCTGTTGTTAATTACAGTTATTTGGACATATTCCACTGAGAGGGTTCTCTTGGGTTGAGATTAGAGAGCTCTGTGAATAGCCACTCAATGATAATAATCCGTTTAGCTATGGGACTGAGCCTAAGAGAATAGCAGAGCAGCAACCCTTAAATCATCTGGGCCTCAGTTTTGTCATTTGCAAGGTGGGCAGATTAGAAACCATGTCAGAGTTTCCATCTGTTAGTGGTTATCATGGGGAGAAAGGTCAGGATTCGTGCATAAATTGAGCTTTGGTTCCATGACTAGCTCATGGTTTTACAGCTGGGAAGGAACTGTGTCTAGACAGCCATGAGAAGAGCCTCAGCTTTCAGAAGAGTGCACAGCTTTCGGAGGTCGCCGTCACTGACTTTAGCTAAGGGTTGACCTTGAACTTCTGATCCCTGAATTGTGCATGCAAATAAGAATTGTAACCTTCTGAGGCAGTGCCATGTCATTTTGCATTTGTGTTCCCCGCAGTTTCTACTCCCATGAGCTTAAGGGATGCTCTAAGAGCTTAAGATAGCCCTCTAGGGGGCACTCTTTCATTAGTATTAGTTTGAGTCCAACGGAAGGCTGATTAGAAACCCTTTTGAGTTTCCAGGAGGGACGCTAGGTCAGTCTGTCTCATTATTGATAGATTAATTTGGTCACTTGATTAATCTATCGTGAACATATTTTTGATCCGCTTTCTAATGACTAAATACTTCAGACGATAATAGTATGAGACTATATATTTTTTGCTTCCAAACATTATTTTACTCAGTGGTTCCTGTATTGGCTTGAAAAATTCTGTTATTATGTTGACTGCAAACAAAACAAAACAAAAACCTGTTTACTTTTGAATGAGAAAATAATAAACATTTTAAGAAAGAATCTTTATTATATCTAGACCAATTATGAGAGTGCTATATCTAAAGCCTTCTCCCTGATATGAACTACTTTATGTAAACAATTCACATTATAAAAGTAACACAACAGATTTTTGGGGATACATAAAAATATAATGAGGAAAAAAACCAATAGTTTCAGTAACTAAGAAAACCATCACTTTACTCAACTTTCCTAATTTTTAACGGCAAAGTTACTGTCCCTGAGAAAGTCAGATGAGGATCTCAAGGACTTATTAAAAAATGTCCCAGTATAATGTAAGAAAATGAGGAATCATCATTTTGTCTTTCTTTGTATTTGGGCTAAATTATTCTTTCCCAGAATTTGGCATACTTGAAAAGAACAACATTATAGCACAATTTTTCTACTTAATAAATTTTCGATAAAGATAATTTTTAATTATCATATACTATTTCAATAAGCATTTCTACAATGATTCAATTAACACTTTCTTCCTACGGTGGAATATATAAATTATTTCAGAATTTAATCTGTTATAAATAACAGTTGGAAGAACATGGCACAAAATGTTTTTGTTTCCGTATTTTACATTCATTCCTAATTTATGTATTCTTACTGAGTTAGCATTTGAATGTCACTGAATGTTCAATATCATTGAATAATATTCTAAGATATCCCTATTTGCAATCTGGTCATTTCCATTGCTCCTGAGAGATGAACTCATTCTTTCTCTGGACCCTGCCCATTTTCCCACCTCTGCCCTTGAAGGACTTGAGAGCATTGGACAGTTTCCCCATCGTGACTGTGTATAACTTCCCCCTCCATCATCATCTGTATATCTTGATCACTCCACACATGCTGAGACACACTCTTTTACCTTCTATTTCTGTCTGACATCCTGTAGCCTATAGGATGCAGGTAGAAAAGAAGGCACTAGTATTTTTCAAATATTAAACATGGCTTGTTGGAGAATATGTATGACTACTGTCCCAACGTGTTGAACCCTAAGCTGTTGTCAAATGAACAGTCTTGGGGGAAAGATGCCTACAACATGAATATTTTAAAAGACCAGAATTAAATCAGCACTCTGAAGGAGTACTGACCAATAGAACTTTCTGAGATCAAGGGAACATTCTCTGTGATGTTCAATATGGTAGCCTCTGGCTACATGGAGTTGCAGAACACTTGCAATGTGCCTAGTATAACTGAGGAACTAAATTTTTAGTTTAATTTAAATTAATTTAAACTTAATAGCCACGTGTGGCTACAGGCTTCTGTATTGGGTAGACCATGTCTAGACATGCAAAGACAGGCAAAAGTATGTAGATATCTAAACCGGTCTTCCCTTTACCTTTTACTTTTCAGGGACGACCTGGTTTCGATGGACCTCAGGGGGAAACTGGTAGTGTTGGCTCTCAGGTAGGTGTAACTGCTCATGGGGTGTATTTCACCTGCTTTTGTGGGAGAGAGAGGCTGGGTGGGGTGAAAATTGGCTGTTTTCTTCTCTAAGGTCTTCATTTCTCTTCTCTCCTTAGGGCCCAAGAGGACGACATGGTCTGCCAGGATTGAAGGTCAGTGCTTCCTGGAAGAGTTGCTCCTGTTCCACATCTGTGGCGCTTGAGATAGTTCTGTCTGAGGTCAAGGGCAGTGCTGGTTGGGCTGTCTGAGGCTGCATGAGGATTGCTGGGAAATTTCCCTGAGGATCATTTTTTTCATGAAGGAGGGAAGATATATATGGTTACTCTCTGTGCCCCCTCCAGCCTGCTATATATAATATTTCATTTAGATGGAAAAAAGTGAATACCTTGAAGAATAGCTTTACTTCTGAAATAATGATTTTTCCATTTAAAGAAGACTTCCTAAGGGTGCATAAGGGACTGCCATAGTCACTAATGGAAGGGAAAAGTTTGAGTTTTACTATTTCCAAAGGGGAAATTATGTGATTTGAGGGTGGGATGGGGGGAGATCTGTGGTGAAAATTGTACCTCACTAAGCATTTATCAAGCACCAGTCACTGTGTTAGACATTTACTTCTATCTCATGTAAACCTTTCGACAACCCTAGGAGTTATGAGCATCCTTGGTTACTTTTCATGGATAAGAGAAGAAAATAGAGGGTTAGCAAAATGAAGTTACTTGTCAGAGGCCACATAGCTAATAATTGGTGGAGACAAGATTCAGATCCAAAGATCAGAGTGCTCTTGGAAATAAGGGTTAAAAATGTGAAGACTTATCTCCAACACAGTCTGGTCATGCTCTGTTGGTGTTATTTTTTATAGTATCCTCATGATTTTAGGATGGAGGATCCAGAGATAGACTTATGACATCTCCGAGCCTGGGAATGAGTGAAGGGTGTGTGTGTTGGGCAAAGACGTATGTACAAGTGCTCATATGTCTTCAAGCCAAAAATATTGGAAAAGCATGGATGTTGAGAAATACCAAGTCTCAAGAACACAAACAAGTTGTTTTATTGGTACCAAATAAAATATTATACCTTAAAACCAAAAATGTTGAAAAACCAGGGCTAATGAGAAATCTCAAGTGTCAAAAATCCAAAACAAGTTTTGTTGGCACCAAGTAAAATACCATGTCTTAAACAATATTAGGATTTGAAATAAAGTCTTAGGAAATTTTTGTGCTATTCGTTGTTAACACTTGTAAAATAAATAATGTCTTGAAATATCATTTTATCTGCACTATCTTGTGTGGCCCAGTGGGTTGGACATTATCCCACCAGTTGATACTCCATCAGGGCAGAAACCCGAGTTGGGGACCAGCTCCCCAACTGGGGGAGTGCAAGAGGCAACCAATCAATATTCCCTTCATATCAATGTTTCTTTCCCTCTTTCTCCCTCCTTTCCACTCTTGCGAAAAAATAAATAAATAAATAAAATCTTAAAAAAAAAGGAAATATAATTTTATCCCACTGTTTTAAACTCCAAAAGGTAGAAAGAAATAAACTACAACTGACCAAGTTAAGTTTTGGAGAAGTTTAGTGGCTCTAGGCAGTGGAATGAATTTTCTACTCTTGAATGATTTAATTCTTTTGTAATGCTATGTGTAGTCTATCTAAATACCCGGAAGCCATGGGTTCTCTGCTCAGCTGTGTCTTGGTTATTCCCTACGTTACTCCATCCCCTATGTCTTTCATTTTTATTTTATTGAAGTCAGAGCCAAGCCTATGCATAAATTTAAAGTCAGCTTGCACTCTCAAGCTAGTAAGCAAAAATATTTCCTTGCCCATTCTTTCTCCTTGGTGTTCCTAAATCCCAGAACTTCAGAACACTTTCATGTTTTTGGGCTTTTCCTTATGGTATTATTGCCTTTTTCCTAAATGACATGTTTACTTTGCTATTTCTTGGTTTTCGGTTTTGGGTGTTTTTCTATTGATTTCTTTCTTTCTTTTTTTCTCTGTTGACTGGCGTTTAAACCGGGACTCACCCCTTATGTTCCTGAATCAGAACATGTTTCCCTCCAGGCTCTTAACTATGTGCTCATTTGTGGTAGAGCCTATCTTGTTTTCACAGCTAGACCCTGACCAAGAATTTGTTAAGCCCTTAACATTTTTTATACTCAAGAGTAAAGAAAATTTTGTTTTTCTAAACTGCTTTCTCTCATTCTCTATATTTTAACTTAAATAAATGTACTGTCATGATACAGTTATTGTAAAATAAATACATTGGTTTTGCAGTGTATGGCCATGGGTCAGTTCCTGACCCAGCTTCTTATTCGGGCTTCCCTTTAGGTTATAATGTATTGTGAACCTGTAATTTCTTGTTGATGGAGCCTTCCGAAGGATTTCTTTTTCTCCACTTTTATATGGTAAACCTTGCTTGATACAAGATTAGTTCTAAAAGGCTTTCCTTTTCTTTTCTTTCTTTGTAAACACATTTGCATTATCTTTTCCGCCCATCGCTCTACCGCCCACCCCTCTGGCGACCGTCAGTTTGTTCTCTGTGTCTGTAGGTCCATTTCTGTTTTGTTTTGTTTGATTTCCTGTTGAGGGGGATACAGACTTTCTGAACCCATCCATCTCCTTCTCCACACACTTCCCTTGAACTCATCTTTGCAGCAAACTTATTTTCTCTGCTTTCGGTGAATTCCTTTCATTGTTCACATGATAACTAGGTAAGTATTATTTACAGCTATAAAGCTATTGTTTTCCTGAGTCGCCCTTTCTCCCCACTTGCTTTGTATTCTGTGAGTGTATTACTAGTTAATCATAAAACTCACAAAACTGACAACCTTCCAATATATTCAAACACGTCAGGTGTATTTTTCTTGGATGGCTCCCTCCTGGGCGCTCCCTGCGTCCTCCTGCCTTAATGCAGACCGACCACTGTCTGGCTCTCTGGACTGCTGTCTTATTGGAACAGATTTTAGAACAGCAACCTCATTTTGGGAGCAGAGAAAAATGTGTGCAAACTGCTGTTTCTACTAGGAAGCCCCTCCCTTTGACACATTGTAATCTTGTTGAATCTTTATAGTTGTTTGCTCTTTCCTATTAAAGCTTGGTTTTTTTTTTTTTAAAGAGGTATTTGCAGACTCCAGGGTGAACTGGGTTTATTCAACATGTCAGTAATTTGCTGGATAACCCAGTGTTGGAGCATTAGTCAAATAGACTCGTTTATGTTTCTGAGGCTGTAACTTGCTAAGGTCAGCTAATACTATTGGAAGAATACAGCTTACAGAGGTGCTAAACTCTAAATTACATTTCTTGGACCTTGGAACCTGTGGCTCGTTGCTCTCTATAAAATTAGATATTCTTGCTTTTACAAGATGCCTAATAAAATGGAAATCTAAGTGAGATTTTATTTATGGAAAAGATTGTATTATGGCAAACAAATCAATGCATAGGTTATTTTGGCAATAATTTGTGTTTCCTTTACTTGTATACATAATAAGAGATTAACCTAATGTATATACTATTTTATATTCTGCTTTTCCATGTTTCCAAATCCTTCTATAACCATTAATACATTGTATCTTATTCTGTTAAAGAACAATGATTAGTAAACAATTTGGTAATATGTTTTGTTACATATTATGCCAGGGATGTAAAGAGAAATGGTATTTTTGGTTTTTTGTTTTTGTTCTTGTTTTTTGCTTAAATGATTTCCCAATATAAATGTGTATGCATGTAATTATAATTAAAGAGCCTGGGCTTTGCTAAATAGAGCCATGTTGTTCTCAGAAATGTGGTGCATTATGAATGTCACTAATATGCAAAGTAGGCAACATTTCACTTGTTTCAAAATTTCTAGCTACATGCCTTTTAAAACATGGTTCATATTTGTAAATGTAGAAATCAACTCTTAAAGAATAGAGTACTATAACAGTAATGATTAGTAGAAGTGATTCCCATTTATCAGAATAATTTGAAAAACTTAAGAAGCACACATAATTGATCCACATATTGGTTAATTCTGAGTTTAAGATTTTTTTTCTTTCTGTAACTCTGAATAATCTATCAGTAGCTTAGTCAACATGAAAAAAAAGAATAATTCACAAAATGGGCATTAGCCTCAATCTTGGAAAATTTACCTTCTTTGTAGAATTGAAAATATTAATTTGAGGGAGAAATTAAATCAGTTATCAGATAAATCATTTTAACAGGCTGTCCTTTGCCTAGGGAACTAACTTAGTGCTCTAAAAACTATAAGTTTTTAAACCAGTTTTCTGGCATTTCTCTATGTGCTTTATGGGTTCCAGAATGTCACAGCTGTTGCTGTGCACAACATTTGAGTTTCTTCACATGGGATAAGGATCCTTAACACCAGTTAGCATTTAATAACCAGTTACTATGTTCAATGGGAGTATGAGTAATTTAAACAAAGTGTGTTTGCTTCCATCACTAGCTGAGAAATTGGAAGGAGATGCACAAAGACTAGGAAAGGCAGTGAGAATCTGGTCTTACATTTTCCCCACCTCTGTGGAACTACTGCCCCCATTCCTCTCGAGCTCCACGTCTTAAGAGGACTAAGCCCAGACGATGAAATGTTTTGTTTTTTTTTTACTCTTGTGGCTTTTAGGCAACGTCTTGCAGGGAAGGCTACCTTCAGTAGGAACACTGAAGATGCTTGGTGAGCTCACTAAATCTTATTCATTTTGACAGGGTGTGCGTGGAGGAGCTGGTGACCGCGGTCACCAAGGAGAATATGGGTATCCAGGCTCACAGGTTGTATCAGTGAATTTGTTTTTAGTGCTAAAGGATATTTGTTTAAAATTTTAACTTAGATTCTTTGATAGTGATTTAACATATATCAGAGTGACCTTGGCTACCTCCCTTCGTGGGCCTCCCAAAGCAAATTATATAACCTCTCTTCTGGGTAGGTTAAACCTCAATAGCTAATATTTACTGAATTCTTACTATGTCCTAGATATGGCCCTAAGCACTTGTATTAACCTATTAAATCCTTTACTAGGGGGGTTGTTATCCCCATTTTACAGGGGAGCAATGCGGGGCGGGGATAGAGAAGTTAGGTAAATTGACCAAGCTCACACAGCTAGTAAGTGACAACGATGAGATTCAGACTCAGGCAGCATAGTTATAAGTCGATGCTCTTAATTGCTGCCCATTCAAATTACATAGACCATATCTGATTCATCAAAATTGTATTCAGTTTGGCAGGAAAAATCAGCAATGTGCTTATGAAGTACCTATCATACACAGGGCGTTTGGCCAAGAGGCCTGGGACATTTAGACCATCCTGGCAAGGATCTTGCCCTCGAGGTGTTCAGTCCAGTAGAACATTGTAAACTCTTCTGTGATAGCTGGACATTTAAACTGCCAGTCAGTTCTTTTGGAATCTTCTAAGTGTAACACAAGTTTGTCATTCTGCAAACATTCCTAGAGTGTTCTCTACGTCTTTCTTCTAAAAGCCAAATTATTTCAAAATATCCTCAAATGGAAGAACTTTAAAACAACAAATTTTATTGAGCACATTGACTCATGCTCTTTAACTTTGAAGATCCTATGAGTGTTAGAATATAATTTGAGAAGATTTCTGCTATTTTCCCACTTGACAAAGATACCAGATAAAGACAAGGGTAATCAATGTGTAGTAACAGATTTTATTTACTTTATGACAGACAAGAAAGAGTACCTGAACATAGGGGGAAACACCTGAGAGATATACTTTTTGCCTTTTCTTTTGATCACTGGCTTAATTCCAATTTGGATGTCCTGCTCCTGTTGCGTCCTGGTTTTCTCCTTTACATTCACTTTGTTATACTGCTGAGTGTGAGGGGGGCAGGTCGTGTGGTGAGGTATGAGCAAGATAATGAATAAAACCTCTCCTTATTTTTCACTTCCCACGGGCGCAAGGGTATGATTCAGTATTCACATAGATGATTCAATACTTCACACAGGAGTATAGAAGCTATAATCAATGCTTCTAATAGGAAAATATTTCTCAGAAAAGCAGGAAAAATTTAAAGTGTCAGAAATCAGTAAAGTAAAATAGATTGGGGAGAAAACAAACTCCCTAGCAATGTGCCCAGTGAGATTAGGCCCCTCAAGTGTACCTTTGGTTCTTGATAAAATCAGAATGCAATTTCTTGTTTCGCCCCTGTATATATAAGGAAAAGGTTGATTTTTTTTTTTAGGTAAGATCAGCCACTATCCTAGTAGCTTCTCTTATTCCCTTTTTAATACCTAAAATGAGTTGGGTGAATTGAAATATAAAAACAATGTTCTCAAACTTTAGTACTCATCAGATTTAGCTGAAGAGATGGTTAAAAATATGGATGCTGAGGACTCACATCCTATGCTTCAGATGGAAAGAGTTTGCAGTACGTGTGCTGGGGGCACTTCAGAGTGCAGATGCTGCTTGATTAACGTGCAATAAATGAGATAGTGTTGGGCCAGAATACCTAAATTTGTGCTTCCATGAGCATCTATGGATTTTTAGTTATGTGGAAAATATTATAATTATGTATCTCTATAAAAATTGGTTGAATTCTAATTTTATTTTTGGACCAGGGACCAAGAGGAAGGCAAGGACCACCAGGAACTTTAGGACAAAAGGGCTCCCTGGGTATCCGGGTAGGTATGGAAAACTAAAAGCTGCAACACAGCTGCTCATTAATAATGGCCAATTCATGCACCTTGGTGTTCCTGGACAAATAACGTAAAGCCTCACTGTCTGTTCTGGGATCTGTGGGTGTCAGGAATTTCTATAAATAGCTAATTTGATGCAGTGGACAATGATCATCAGGAATGTATCCCCCCCCCCCCCCCCCCGCCCCAACTCTAAGTATATTGTGGGACTGTAGTGATCAATGAGATTGGGGTTGAGCGTCAGGGGCATGTAACACAAGCTCATACTTACTTGTGGAGCAAGGGGAAAAGTAGTATAAAAGGGGAATGGTGGTTAGTTTACTCCTCACAAACATATAAAGAAGCATTACTATCCCAATTTTATAGATGAGGAAACTGAGGCTCAAAGGGATTAAATTATTTGTCATCTGTGAAGTAAGAGGCTGACCTGACCTCTAACTTGGGTCTTTCTAGTGCTTGTTCTACAACTCACCCAATATCCTGGTGGTCCATAGAAGGTTCAGACCAGATTGAGGCAGATGGCTGGAGTAGATTCCTAAGGAAGGGAGCATTTAAGATACCTTCAACCCGGGCAGCATGATTTAAGTCGTGGGAGAGAATATCTGGAGAGTCAAAACAGTAGCTCTAGGATGGTCTAAGCCCAAGTTCTGTCCTCATTCTCCCACCATCAGGAGATTTCTAGCCCCCTAACTGAGTGTATTATTTGCATTCTCTTTTGATAATACTTTCTATTTGGGAAGGGTGAAAGTCGAGTTGTTTATCTTCCCGACCTCTTAATCAAGTAGAACTTCCCCTCCAGTAGCCAGAAAATTCCTTCAATTTTTGGTATGTGGTAGATGTGGCCTCTTGCACAGAACACCTTACTCCCACATCCCATCCCCCAGCCCAGAGGTTAAATGTGTCTATTATACATTTTCTATGTTGAAGGATATAATTAATTGTATTGAAGGTGATTCATGAGCATATTACCAGTTTGAGACCATTTCAATAATAACAAGAGTTGGATAGTTAACTTTGTGGCCCCGTAGGTGATTCTAGGCATGGTCTTTTGGCAGGGGAATCCTGGGCTTCCAGGGCCAAGTGGTTCAAGAGGAAAAGCTGGACCAAGAGGAATGAAGGTAAATGTCATAGAATTCATTCTTCCTTGAGTGCAACTTGGGTTTTCCTATATGAATCTCACCTCACTTGATCATTTCCAGCATGAATTTCTGATGTGGTTGGTGATGATGTTGACTGTCCATTCCCTTATAGCTGGATAGATGGATACTGAGAAAGAAAGACATATAGACAGGTATATAGAAAGATGAATAGATGGACACATGTATCAGTAGACAAAGATATAAAAATAGATAGACAAATATATGTGTTCACCATAAATGTGGATTCACACACTCACACCTAGAAAAACCATAGCAATATAAAATTCTGTACCTGGTGCTGCTGCATACCTGGTTTTGATCATTTTCAATACCAAAATTTAAAATATATTTTTTAATTTTTTATGTTTAACAAAAATCTAGAGGAAGATATTTATCTTAGATTGTAGGATGATGCCAATGGAATTTGAAAAGAGTGACTGTAACATTCCTAAGAACAATGACATAAAATTGTATGAACTCATAGGAGAAAATTAATTTCACCTTTATCCTTTATTATAAAAGGGAGATCGTGGTGTTGCAGGAGAAAGAGGCCCACAGGGTCAGCAAGGACCAAGAGGGGAACCTGTAAGTCTGCTTTCTCTGTTTTGGACTCTTGATTGACTTTCTTGTTTATTATTTGTTCTTATTTCACATAAAATTCTAATATTCATGATGAATATTTGGGGTAACAAAAATGACATAATAACTAGAGCTGTTTTGAACCTCAAGAGTCAAAGATTGTTAAACTTCTCATATACAGAAAGAATCCAAAGACATCTCAGGGTTTATTTTGCCTTTTCACATGTTATTGAAGAGGGAAATGCCAGTTAGCCTCTCCTGTTTGACAAAGATGTTTTGCAGACATTTGAGTCTTTTAGGAATACAGGGATGCTCAATGAAACTTTTTTTTTTTTTTAAGGAAAACAAATAAGATGGCCAATCAGGTACAAATTTTTAAGGGCATGGGTTTGATTATCCAGAGCATAGAAATAATCTTTGAAGACTAAGCATCATAAAAGGTTTACTTCAATAGATAACACTCAAAGACAGGACTATGCATTTTTACCTTAGTCATAGCAAGAGCAAGTTAGTTTTTTATGACTATTTTCAATTCAACACCTTATTGGAATGAGCTTTATGTTACAGAGTAATGATGTCTTTCCTGAAACTCATATTTTTGAGATTCCTCTCATCAGCAGCAGGAGGGACCTGCATCTGTTTTACACTCAGCACTGAAATTGCATTTGTTAGCCAGGAAAGAAAATAAAAGCAGGTCTAAAAAGCCTCAACTTAAATGTGGCAAGGGAAAAAAAAAACAGAACAAGATCACTGACAAATGAAATGTAGCGCAAATAATGTTTTGCATCTACACTCAATTCAGATGATGAAGTTAACACTGTCTGACTTTATTAAAATATCCTGATTTAAAATAATGCAAAGCTTGTTCCTGTTGACCTCTTTTTGGGAAAAACAAAGCTGGGGAGCACTGCATTTCTTGAAGGAGTTGTTTCAGGAATGTTGGAGGGTGTAGGACATCTCCAAAACATACAATCTGGGTCTCTGGGGCTGCAGATGTTGAAGCCTCTGCGTGTCCTAGAGCAGAGAGAAGCTGGAGTAACAGCAGATGAACCTCATTTGCAATCCCTCCCCCCAGATAATTCATTTTTGGCAATCTTCATCTTATTTTCTAATATTTTAAACTTTATTCCTTGGCCATTGAAATGATCTTTGTGGCTTAAAATTTAAAACTGTTCTTCTCAGTTGATGTACTTCATTTAAGTGCAGTCTTTGTCCATTCAGCACAAAGTATCTACAAGTTTCTGAATTCACTCTTTATTACAGGAAACTCATTGTCTGTAAGTATAGATGCTAAGATCCCAGTAGTATCACCAACATTTTCATAATTACTCTCGCCAGCACCACCTCCATTTCCACCGCCGCTCCCTCCGCCATTGCCACACCATTGCCATGGCCAATGTCACACCACTGTCATCACTGTCACACCGTTACTACTCTGTTGCCACCATCATCACCATTACTGCCACTGTCAGCAGCAGAATAATGGCACCTTACTAAGTACTTTCTCTGTGCTTGGCATTGTGCTAGAGACTTTTCATGCACAATCTCATTTAATCTTCCAACCATACTAGATAGATGATATTATCCCCATTTAACAGATGAGGAAACTGAAGCTTAGAGAAGTTGAGTAACTTGTCTAAGGTCACTCATACAACCAATGTTAAAGTGGAATGAAAATTTAGGTCTGTCTGGATTTACAGCCTATAAACTTATTTACTGAACCACATTGCCTCTATCCCATTCTTTCCCCCCAAAGTCTGTCTGGAGATTTATCAATTCTGGAGTTTCTTCCATTGTTTCTTTATCCTACAAGGAAAGCAAATTTTCCCAGGTAAAACTTTGTACAGTGATTGGGCTTCCTATCCCCATGGTATCACCTTGCTGAGGTACAGAATCTTGCTGAAGAGGAGGTTAAAAATTAAGGAGAATACTAAAAATTTATTTATGTCATGGTCTTAAAAACTTGAAACCCTCTTCCCCCCTTATCCTTTGAAGGTAGTCTAACGTTTATCCTATAAAGCTGAGATAAACCTCCATCAAGCCCCTCCTTCCTTCCCCATCTCCTTTCACTGTTGATTTTTTCAAGGGTTCCGGTAATATTATCAACCAAATAATGATCTGGATGACTCTACAATTCATCTTGTATCATTTTCTTAGGGTCTTTTTGGTCCTGATGGATACGGAAGTCCAGGAAGAAAAGGCACAAAGGTGAGGTTTACCTTACAGAGTATTTGGAGTTAAAAACTATTGCTTTTATTTTATTTTACTAGAGTAAGAGTTATCGCCCAAGTGGCATGCCAGGAGTGGTTTCTACATGCTGTTTATGATATGTTGTAGCTGCCAGAGCTCCCTCCTTCAAAAGCAAAAGCTGATTCTGTTTCTCTGTTATTTAAAAATCAAACTCCTTACTTCATCTTCTACCTACCCCCGCTATTCCTACCCCAGCTCTGGGAGTGCCAGGCTCTTTCCTCTGCAAATGCTCTGGCCTCTGTTTGGGATGTCCTTCCCCATCTCCCTCCTTTGGGCAATTTTTACTCATTTTATAAAACCAACTCGGATATCAACTTCACCTTGTGGAAGACAGAATTTGTTGTCCGGTATTCTATGTGCCCAAAGCACATTGTTCATATTCCTACAGTAGCCCCTTTCCATTGATGTTTTATTTAATTTATTCCTGCATATTTATCTACCTCCCAGTTTCTGAGCTTGATAGCAGGATTGCACCTTACTCATTTTTGTGTTGCTGGAACAGAGCCTGGCACAGAGTAGCTGCTTAATAAGGGTACTTCAAGATTTCCACTCTCATAAGAAGCTGGTATTTTAACATGTAGTTAACGGGTTACTGACAGAGGTTGTGATGTATAGAAGTCACATGAATCTTGTTGAGCTAATCAAATGTCAGAAGCTGCAGTTATTCTTGGTGCTGTAGTTTGCAAGTTACATTTATCACTTCACAATATAAGAAATTACTGGGATGTTTGGTGTTGCTGAGCTACTTAACTATATCAGAACTCTGGGCCGGCTTCTCTGCAATTCTGTTGTTTCCCTTGTGACCCTTGACAACAACACTGCCATTTTATTGAAAAGGGAAATGTCCCAAAACGTAGTGATCCCTTTGTAGATATCTGTGGAATAATGAACCATGTGGGCCCATGGTGATCATTCTAGCTTAGCCTTCTTGATTTACAGATAAGAAAATTGAGACTCAGACAAGCGCAGTAACTTGCCTATGGTCACAGAGCTAGCCAAAGGGAGAGTGGAGTGTGGAAGCTAGTTCACTGGAGTCCCATCTGGCAAATTAAGTCTTTCTCCCCTAGGGGAGAGTTTGCATGGCAGGAAATTCTGGATAGAATTGAAATGTGCGTGTTTTGAGCCACATACCCCCACCTCTCTGACCTAAACACACGGGCAGTCTATACTTCTTGTGATATACTTAGCGTTGTGGGACACGCAGATTCCACATTTGCATGACTTTTTCCTGACAAGTCATAATTGTCTCACTTTAAATGGCCCTTATTGCTTCTGGGCCAGCAGACTACATTTTCTTAGGTTGTTCGCTCTCCTCTTCTCTGAGTGATGTGTTTCATACTGTCCGCTCTCAATAGATCATTCCCAGTATAAAAAGAGATGGGAATATCTGTCATCTTCCAAAAAAACCCAAACCAACAACAAAACCCTCACTTACCTACACCCTTTCATTGCCCCATTCCTCTCCGGCAACTCTTGGAAGAAGTAGGTCCATACATATGGTTCTCACTCAGGGGTGACTTTACCTCCCAGGAGACATTTGGCAATGCCTGGAGGTATTTCAGTTGTCACAGCTAGGTGAGGGGGTGCTGCAGGATTTTTATTTATTTTTTAACGTGTTTGTTCTCTGCCTGGAATGTTCTTCTCCCAGATATCTGCTTGGCTTTCTTCCTCAATTCGTGCTGGATTTTGCCCAAATGCCACTTTTACCAAAAGGCTTTGTCTGACCCCCTTATATAAAATATATACCCTCAACAACCCATGTTGTTCTTTATCCCTTAATTCCCTTTCTGGAACAGCATTTCTCTCTCCCTGATGTATTGTACTTCTCTTCCTCACTAGCAGGTAAGTCCCATGGTAGCAGCAGACTTTCTTTGTTCACCGTGTATTTCTCAGTGCTTAGAAAAGTGCCTACCACATAGTAAGTGCTAAATAAATATTTGTTGAATGAATCATTGCTTTGTAACGTGCCTTTGGGTTGACAATGAGGGCCTGCTTCCCAACAATCAATTTGGTGCCTCTTCCCTTGGTTTCCATTGGATCAGAAATCTGGTTATTTAAACTGATAGGTATGAATATCTAAGAAGGCAGTTTCATTACACAATATATCAAGGAAGGGTTAGGAATTTGTAAAAATAATTTGCGAGTTGTTTCACAATGAACTACAGATATAAAAAATGTACACAGGAGTAGCTCAAGATAACTTTTGGTATAGTTGTTTTTTCTGGCACCTGTTTTAGTCTTTTTTCTTAAGTTACAGTTTCTTCTTTTTTTCTGAGGAGTGCCAAAAAAAAAAAAAAGGACTTAATCACATGACATTAAACAAGCTCTTCTCCCATTTCTGACACTAGGGTGAACCTGGCTTTCCTGGCTATCCTGGCACAAAAGTAAGGAGATATCTTTCTGGGCCTGGCAACGGGTATGCAGCATGTGTCATTTGTTTGTGCTTATTTTTCTTTACATTCAAGATTCTGTTTTTGATTCTATTAAGGGAGCAAATGGTGACCCAGGCTTCCGAGGAGAGAAGGGGGCAAAGGGAATCAGAGGAAAGCGGGTAAGAATGAAAAGGATTTCCCCGAGATCTATAAAGGCTTATGTCATGGCACTCTACTCATAGGAGCCTATTTCTATTGGGTTAATGGAGTGCTTAGCAGGAAGCCCACATCCTCCTCAGGCGGGCACATTTCATGCCCTCCTTGGGCTACCTCACTTCCCACTTCCATTGTCATTCATCTTCTGAGCGCAAACACTGCTCCCCAAACCATAACAACAGAAAATCCAAGTTAGAGTTTTGGTTGTGCAACATCAACCTTTAACAAAATAAATTTGGAGGCACCTCTGTCTTTGATGAGCCTAGACATTTGGAAGGTTATTGATTTAGCTGCAGAGCAAATGTTGCTGTTTCTCTGAGATTTTTCCAAGCCTTACCTTTCTCTTAGCTTTTTTAGGACTACACACTCAAGAATGTGGCTGCCATCTTCGTAGACTTTGAGTCATATTTTCTGTGCTTTATAGAGTCTACCATTAAAAATCTATTTCTTCAGGTTCTGAAGATTCAACCTTGAAGAGCCACAATCACTGGAAGCTCTTTTTAGAAAGAGTAACCCCGTGTATATCTAAAACCTTGGTAATGTTTAGCTGGTAGAGAGCAAGGCCTTCTGGGGAAAAGACATCAACCAGTGTTCAGTGAAAAAAAAAAAAAAAAGAGAAAAGGAAAGTGAATGTATATTTTCTAGGAACTCAATAATTGGTATTTTCATACACTGGCAAAGACATAAAGAAAATTTTGATCTATGCTTCACTTGGCTTGCTGTTGGTTAGTACTGCCCTGCTCAGCTAAACTTATCTTTCTGATTTCAAATTTAAAAATAAGATAAAACATCAGTTACATCCAGATGATGGTGCGCTGTGAATCCATGACTAGCATATAACTTTTCTCATGCACTGAAGACCAGAAGGCAGTGGAGGAGCTCTACTTTTTTCTTGATGCCAGGCCCTCAATTCACACTTTATGCATTCATTTAACTATATAACCTAGACGGTCAAGTGAATATGACATCCTTTAAGGCCGTTTGGAAGTGTGTGTTTGTGTGCATGTACACACGTTGGCTGGAATTAGATATATGGGGGGATTTAGATGGTTCCCATAAAGAGACCCCTTCTCTTTCTAGTCTCTGTGTATCACTCCACTGATCACAGTTCATAAACTAATAGGTTTATAGAAGACTCACTGTACCTTAGAAATAATGACAATTTGATATCTCAGGGTTATGGTTTTAATGAGTTATATTCAAGGGGGAAAGCTTATTCTTTTGGTCTGGTGGTTTTTAGGGTAATTCTGGCCCTCCAGGATTTGTCGGAACTCCAGGTGACCAAGGCCCTTCAGGACCACGGGTAACATGGACTCTTCTCTTTTCTCTTATTTTCAACCTTTGTGTAAAAATGAATAAAGACATGATAAGAGGCATCTCTAAGAAGAAATGAATACTTGGGACACACAAGAGGATCTATACAGGGAATCGACCAAATTTGCTTTTCATTCACTTCAAGTCTTTACAGAGTATATTTATTCAATAAAAATGTTTTACTTGAAAATAGAGAAGGCATTAGAGTGGCTGGAGATATATAAATATGTCTAAACATATAAAATAATTCATAATGCTCCCTGGAGAATGAGTTTATCAATATAAATGAGGTAAGCAACAAATTTATGCTGAAACCAGAAAGAAATCCTAACAAAATAGGACATTTATATCATCTTAACTGAACTGACAATGTTGCAAGCCCACAAATAATTTTTAAATTTTTTGGAAGTTCATTTGGTATGAAAGGGAGGACTTGGGGCTACTGTCACGTTGCCCCATGGCTCATCCTAGGAGGCCAGCTGTCATTTCATGAGATGGCACAGTTAGTCAGCTGTGGGTTGAACCTGGGGGTTTCACTGAAGTGTTGGGCTTGCTTAGAGAAGTACAACAAAGTCATAGAATCAAAAATCTAGAAGGATCACTCATGCTCATTTTGCAGATGAGAAAAGAAGATTGAGAAGATTCTAGTGACCTGTCCAAGGTCACAAATTACTACCTTGTAGAGTCTAAATAAGGCATCTCTATTCTGAAGGATCCAGAGAAGGTTTCTTCAGGTCTAGGGCAGAGATAGGGTGCTGGTGGGCGGCCAGAGAAGAAAGGATTGGGGAGGACTGGGTTCTCCTTTATAACTGCCTGTGAATGGCCCTGAGATTCTTGAATGGCCTTTCCTAAACTGTGGCTTTATCTCAAAATGATTTGATCTTCTAAAAGTTATGTACCATTTACCCAGGCATCCTGGACACCAAGCCCTGGCTCACATCTCCTAAGCACTCTGACCTGCTTCCTTAGGAGTCAGATAGAACTCCAGGGCCAGGAGTGAGGGGCAGAAGATGGTCCACGAACTGTGGTGAACTCTATCAGAACCTCACACTGACTCAGGATAATACTGTATTGGACCTCTGAATTTTGCATTTTAAATCTGTTTCTGTTCTTTCCAGGGCATCAAGGGCCCCAAAGGCTTGGTAGACATGATGGTAGGTGACGGATTGAGTTCTAAACTTTATTCTTTTCAGAACACAAAGCTTTCTACTTTGACAAAACAGAAATCTATAAAGATTGTTTAGTTTTACCTCTTACAAATTTTGTTGGTACTTTTAAGTTTGTAGAATAGACTTTACTCTGAAAAGTTATAACCAAATCAAATAAAAAGAGTAGAATAGTATTTTAGATTCTAGAGGGAATCTGGACATTTTTGAGGAATAATAGGTAACATGAAAGGAAAGACCGAGGCCACTCCTCTATACAATATGCCTTTTTGTAAAGTTCAAAAATATGCTTATAAAGTATTTATAAGCCAACACACAGCACACAGCCCAGGCCTTTGTTTTTCATGGAACACCTGAAAACAATCTCAAAAGTTATAATGGTTTTCATCTTTCAAGTACGAAAATACTATTGTGGGGTGGGGGAAGGAAGTAGGGACAACTGAGGAGCAAGAAGTGATGGGGTGGAGGGAAAAAGAGAACAGAGAGAAAGGAACAAAGCAGACTTCAAGGGGAGGTGTGAGGAGTATTGTCTTGGCAGTCATTCCAAAGACATGGGCTAGGAATTGCTAATATAGAGACCCAAAGAAGGCATTTCTCTGCTCTCTGTGCTGAGATTCCTGGATTTAAACTTCTTCAAAATCATATTTGATTCCTTTGCTTTATGATGCAGATAAAAAAGATAAAAAGATTCCTTTTATTTACCTAGCTCTAACAATATGGGCACTATATTGTATGTAGAGTGTTTCAAATGTTTTAAAATATCTACTGGATCCAGAAATATAATTGCTGGACAGTTTTATTTGCTCTAACACTTTTTGGGTTTTCTGTTATAGATTTAAAAGGTTCAGATATGCACTGATAATATCCATATGGCATTTCTAAGTCACCAGAATGGGGAGGAATATACTTCAAATTAAATACTTTTCCCTTTTTTTTCTCTCTCTCCATCTTCCTAACAGCCTTGTGAAATCATTGATTTCACACGAAAAAACTGCCGTAAGTTTGAAAAAGGCTCAAAAGGAGTCAGTGGTATGAAATGGGGATGCGTCATGGCTTGGGGACATAAGTCACCATGGATTTGACAGGTTTGGGATGTGCCATTGTCCATCATAAAAGGATCCTGTAAATGAATATATTTAGCTCAGTCCCCACTTGGGTAAGTAATCTTCCTCAACATGGTCTTAGAAATGAAATGGCCTCAGCATCTCAATGGTGGAGGAAAACTCCCACTGTGCAATGTGGTGCCCCATGAAATGCAATGGTAATTGCATTCCTGCAGGTCTGAATCTTGTTCTTATCACAAAACAGGCAAATCGAAGCTTTGTTCTCTTAATCTCCTCCTTTTAAACGGGAGGGATCAATGGTGAGCTTTCAATAAGAAACGTGCCCTATTTTATTTACATTTAGGTTTTAAAATAGAATTTTGAATCATCGAATTTTAAGTAATTACATTCTCAGATTTTAATTTATTTACTATCTTCAGTGTATTCCAAGATATTTACATCCTGTGATAAACACCTGTCTCTACTTTACTGGCAAAAGGGAGAGAACACTGACTCGGCAAATTGCTTCATTTGGGATCCTGTGTTTTCTCCACAGTCACCCTGCCCCTCTTACTCTGTCTAACGCTTCCGTGTTCTCTTCACTTCCAGCTAGTTGCTGCTCAGGGAGCTTATGGTATCCTACCTCTTAGAAATCATAAAGAATAATACCATCATCTTGATCACAAAAGAGTGCCAGAGTTGGCCATATAAAAAGTGAAAACTCCTTCACATTAAGAAGCAAACATAAAAATAGGAAAAAAAAATGCAATATAAGCAATGGATCCAAGCAGAGGATCAAACTTCCTTACTCTATCATCTCAAAATATGTAAAATTGCTGCTACTCAATCATTTCCATCAAATGATTTCTACAAATACAGATAATTTATATTTGCTAAACATAAATGTAAAAAGCTCATTTAGATTGCAAATGGGCAAAAGATACAAGTGGAAAATTCAGAGAAGAAAACCTGCCAATGGATAATAAACCTGGGAAAATGTTTGACCTCACAAGAAGTCAAAGAATACAAACCCAAAAGAGATATCTTTTTGTTTTCGAAATTGGAAATATTTTTTTAAATGACAAAATTTACAATACTCCAAATTGGGGAAATATGTAAAGCACTCATTGCTGGCAGGATTGCCAGTTAGTACAACCTTCCTGAAGTACAGTTAGACAATGTGTATCAAAAGCCACAATCATAGAGATTTATATAGGGTTACAGCTGGACAAATATGCATAGAAACATACACAAATATACTCATCACAATGGGATGCTGGTGGTGGAAATCACAAGACATCTATGTTGTAGAATAGATAATAGCGCTCTAAAAACGTTATCTTAGGATAGATGTCCATCATATACTAAGTGAAAAAAGATTCAGAACAGAACATATCCTAAGCTCCAAGTTATGGAACCTAAGATGAATTAAGGGTTATTTTAATTTTTTGTTTTCTAATATCTTTCTATAAAAATATACTACTTGCACACACACATATATGACTTCAGAACAGCTCAATATTAATTCAAGTTCAGTACATGTGACCGCAGTGCTAAATATCAGTGACACAAATGTATTTCTCAAATCAAAGCCTGGAAGTAGCCATTCTAGGGTTAACATGGAGCTCCAAGGGGTTCAGGGACGCAGGCTCTTTATATTTTCCTGCTTTGCTGTTGGGAAGAGGGTTATGTTTCCCAAATTACTTCATGGTCTGAGAGGTATAGGATGCTTCAGTTGGCAAGAAGAATACAGGAAAGGGAAACTATATGTTTTCGAAGATATACCTGTCATCTTTCTTATTCTGTTATCTAGAACTTACTGACTAATAGGGCTTACTCACTTACTCACTGGGTGGGGCAGTCTGCTCCAGGTAGCCATATGCCCAGCCAGAGACTGGAGTTCTCTTACTGTGGAAAAAATATAAAACAAATATAAGGGAGCAATTAGAGTCCTCTGCCATAGTCAGGCAGGGGTTGGAGAAGGCCATTAATTGAACTTCCCAGAGGAGATGGTTTTTCATTTTGAAGCACTCACATGGAAAACATACCACTGCTTATATAAACTAACAATGTCTTCTTTTCTCTCCAAAATAATTTCCCTTCCAGTTTGTTCATCAGGTAAATAATATTTCTTCTTATTTACTCAAATCTTTACTAGTTAGAGGCATTGCAGAAAACCTTAAATCTGTATATCCATGTGTCAAGGTGTTTCCAAATGCCCAGTGTTCCCCACCGAAGTGGTCTTTGCCTTGGACATGTCAAAAGACATCTCTGAGTTGGATTTTGAGAGGATGAGAAACATTTTATTGTCTCTGTTGATGAAGATGGAAATAAGTGAAAGTAACTGCCCAACGGGTGCCCGAGTGGCCGTCATGGCGTACAACAACAAAATAGATTACCTGATTCGCTTCTCGGACTACAGAAGGAAGCCTACACTCCTTCAGGCAGTCCAGAAAATTCCCCTGAAGAGGTCATCTGGCAGCAGGAACCTTGGGGATGCCATGAGGTTTGTGGCCAGACATGTATTCAAACGCGTGCGCTCTGGCCTCCTCACGAGGAAAGTGGCTGTGTTCTTCCAGGGGGGCTGGACCCACGATGCCGATTCCATCAGCACAGCCGCCATGGAGCTCAGTGCGTTGAACATTGTCCCTGCTGTCATCAGCTTCACAGAGGAGCACAACCTCCCAGACACGTTCATGGTATGTGGGGGAGCTTCTGGGGGGCAGGGGTACTAGGGCGGTTCGTGTATGGTCCTTACACCTTCATCAAGGACCACATCAGGCATGAGAGCTGTTCAGGGAAGGGATTTCCTAGGAATTAACCTGTATGCATGGGGGGCGGGTGGGCTCTCCTTATGGACTCTACTAGTGCTGACTGGCCTTCTTGAGCACTTATTTCATGCTATGTGCCTCATCAACATTATCTTATTTAATTGTCCCCAAAACTCTATAAGGTAGGTTTACTATATATCTCCATTTCAGAAATAAGAAAACTGGGGTTTAGAGAAATTAAGTCTATCGTCAGTAGTCAAGTGGCAGACTGATATTATCTGCCTTTAGAGCCTACGCTTAATCACTATTCTAAAAGGTATCATGGGGGATCATAGGATGTAATTTTCTTTTTTCACTCGGGGTGAAAATACATGTCCATATAGGAAAGCAGGTGATGTGCACCCACTTTAAATGCAGAGCTGATTGGGTTTTTATATATGATTAAAACCCCAAGACAAGTTTCCAGGTGACTGGACGTTTTCAGCCCCCTCTAAGTTTTCCTCATGTCCCTTCCCAGGCCTAGGCTCCCAGAGTCACTGCCCTTCTGGCTACTGTCACAGTCAACCAGTCTGACCTGTTCTGGACTTTCCTATAAATTGAATCCTATAGTGCTACTCTTTTCTAACTGGCATTTTTTCACTTACCCATATTGTAGGAGTGCCTTCATTTTTTTTTTTTTTTACTGCCATTCTGAAGTATTCTAATGTGTGTATACACCACAATTTATTTACCTATTCCCCACACTTTATTTTTCTAACCAAAACCCGTGTAACACATTCTCACAGAATATCTGATATGACTTATCAAAATGAAGAGTCATGCTCTCTTTTTTTTGCATTTATTTCTTTATTTGTTTATTTTTATTGAGTTTATTGGGGTGACATTGGGTAATAAAATTATATACATTTCAGGTCTACAATTCTGTAATGCATTATGTATACATTATATTGCATGATCATCTCCCCAGGTCAAGTCTCCTTCCATCATCATTTATCCCTCCTTTACTGTCTTCTACCTTCCCTTTTCCCCTTTCCCTCTGGTAATCACCATTCTGTTGTCTGTGTCTATGAGTTTATTTTTTCTTAATCTCTTCACCTTTTTCACCCAACCCTCCACCCCCCACCCCACTGACAGCTGTCAGCCTATTCTCTGTATTTATAAGTCTGTTTCTATTTTGTTTGTTAGTTTATTTTGTCCACTAGATTTCCACATATAAGTGAAATCACATGGTAGTTATCTTTCTCTGATTGGATTATTTCACTTAGCATAATACTCTCCAGGTCCATCCATACTGTCACAATAAGTAAGATTTCTTTCTTTTTATGGGCAAATAATATTCCGTTGTGTAGATGTACCACAGAATTTTTATCTACTTATCTATGATGAGCACTTGGTCTGCTTCCAAATCTTGGCTATTGCAAATAATGCTGCAGTAAACATATAGGTGCATATTCTTTTTTTGAATTAGAGTTTCAGTTTTCTTTGGATATTTTCCCAGGAGTGGAATTGCTGGGTCATAAGGCAGTTTCATTTTTAATTTTTTGAGGTAACTCCATACTACTTTCTACAGTGGCTGCACCAGTCTGCATTCCCACCAATAATGCACAAGAGTTCCCCTTTCTCCACATCCCTGCCAACATTTGTTGTTTGTTGATTTATTAATGATAGCTGTTTTTACAGGTGTGAGATGATATTTCATTGTGGTTTTAATTTGCATTTTTCTGATGATTAGTGACATTGAGCATCTTTTCATATAGCTATTGGCCATCTGTATGTCCTCTTTGGAGAAATGTCTACTCAGGTTTTTTTGTCATTTGTTAATTGGATTTTTTCCTGTGTGTGTTGAGTTTTATAAGTTTTTTATAAATTTTGAATATCAACCTCTTATCAAATGTATTATTGGCAAATATGTTCTCCCATTCAGTGGGATGTCTTTTCATTTGTTGATGGTTTCCTTTCCTGTGCAAAAACTTCTTAGTTTGATATAGTCCCATTTGTTTATTTTTTCTTTTGTTTCCCTTGCCCAAAGAGATATATCAGAAAAAATATAGCTAGGAAAAATGCCTGAGATTTTACTGTCTGTGTTTCTCTCTAAGACTTTTATGGTTTCAAGTCTAACATTTAAGTCTTTAATCCATTTTTAGTTTATCTTGCATATGGTGTAAAAAGGTAGTCAAATTTCATTGTTTTGCATGTATCTGTCCAATATTCCCAACACAATTTATTGAATAGACTATCTTTACCCCATTGTGTGTCCTTGCCTTCTCTGTCAAATATTAATTGACCATGAAGGCATAGATTCATTTATGGGCTCTCTATTCTGTTTCATTTATCTGTTTTTATGCCAGTGCCATGCTGTTTTGATTACTGTGGCCTTGTAGTATAGTTTAATATCAGGTAGTGTGATTCCTCCAACTTTGTTCTTCTTTCTTAAAATTCTGTGGCTGAGTGTTTTATAGTTCCATATAAACCTTTGAAATATTTGTTCTAGTTCTGTAAATTATGCCATTGGTATATTTATTGGAGTTGCATTAGATCTATAGGTAGCTTTGGGTAGTATGGACATTATATTGAGGTTAATTTTTCCTGTTTATGAATTTGGTACATATATGCTTCCACTTATTTGTATCTTCTTCACTTTCTTTCTTTAGTGTCTTATTATTTTCCAAGTACAGGTCTTTTACATCTTTGGTTAAATTTATGCCAAGGTATTTTTTTTGAAATGCAATTGTAAGTGGAATTGTTTTCTTAATTTCCTCTCCTGATAGTTAATTATTAGTGTATAAAAATGCAACTGATTTCTGGATATTTATTTTGTATCCTGCTACTTTACTGAATTTATTTATTAGTTCTAGTAGTTCTTTTTGTAGAATCTTTAGGGTTCTCTATATACAATATAATGTCATCTGGAAATAATGACAGTTTTAATTCTTCCCTTCCAATTTGAGTGCCTTTTATTTCTTCTTGTTTGATTGCTATGGCTAAGATTTTCAGTACTATGTTGAATAAGAGTGGTGAAAGTGGACATCCCTGTCTTGTTTCTGATCTTAAGGGAAATGATTTCAGTTTTTGTCTGTTGAATATGATGCTAGCTGTGGGTTTGTCATATATGGCCTTTCGTTACATCGAGGTGTGTTTCCTCTATTCCCACTTTGCTGAGAGATTTTATCTTAAATGGGCACTGAATTTTATCCAATGCTTTTTCTGCATCTATTGATATGATCATATGATTTTTATCTTTCATTTTGCTTATGTGGTGTATTTCATTTACTGATTTGCAGTTACTGTACCAACCATGCATGATCTTTTTACTGTATTTATGGATCTGTTTTTTAAAAACATTTTGTTGAGAATTTTAGCATCTGTGTTCATTAGGGATATTGGCCTGTAAGTTTCTTTCTTTGTAGTGTCTTTATCTGGTTTTGGAATTAGGATAATGCTGGTTTCTAAAATGACTTTGGGAGTCTTCCCTCTTTAATTTTTAGGAATAGTTTGAGAAGGATAGGTGTTAGTTCTTCTTTGAATGTTTGGTAAAATTCATCTGTGAAGCCACCTGGTCTGAGACATTTGTTTGTTGAGAGGGTTTTTTTTTTTTTTTATTACTGCTTCAATTTCATTAGCTATAATCTGTCTATTTAGATTTTTTGATTCTTCCAAACTTAGTTTTGGAAGATTGTAAGCTTCTAGGAATTTATCCATTTTGTCCAGGTTGTCCAATTTGTTGCATATAGTCTTTTGTAATATATATTTTTACAATTCTTTGTATTTCTTTAGTGTCAGTTGTTACTTCTCTTTCATTTATGATTTTATTTATTTGGGTCCTCTCTCTTTTTTTTTTGATGAATCTGGCTAAAAGTTTGTTAATCTTGTTTATGTTTTCAAAGAACCAGCTCTTGCTTTCATGGATCTTTTGTATTTTTTTCAGTTTTGATTTATTTTATTTGTGCTCTGATCTTTATTATTTTCCTTCTTCTATTCACTTTATTCTTTGTTTGTTGTTCATTCTCTAGTTCCTTTAAGTATAAAGTTAGATTGTTTATTTGAGATATTTCTTGTTTGTTGAGATATGATTGTAATGCTATGAACTTCCCTCTTGGGGACTGCTTCCACTGTGTCCGATAGATTTTGTGCTGTTTGTTCTCATTTTCTTTGTTTCAAGGGATCTTTTGATTTTTTCCTTGATTTTATTGTTAACCTATTCATTGTTCAGTAATGTGTTATTTCACCTCCATGTCTTTGTGTGTTTTTCAGTTTTTTTCTTGTGATTGATTTTTAATTTCACACCATTGTGGTCAGAGAAGATGCTTGATATGATTTACACCTTCTTAAATTTATTGAGACTTGTTTCTAGGATAACATGTGTTCTATCCTAGAAAATGTTCCATATGCACTTGGAAAGAAAGTATATTCTGCTGCTTTGAGGTGAAATGCTCTGAAGATATAAATTAAATTCTTCTGATCTAGTGCGTCATTTGAGGTTGCTGTTTCCTTGTTGATTTTGTTTGGAAGATCTAACCACTGATGTCATTTGGGTGTTAAAATCTCCTACAGTTACTGTATTACTATCCTTTTATGTCTATCAAGATTTGATTTATATACTTGGGTGCTCCTATGTTGTGTGCATAAATGTTTACAAGAGTTATATCCTCTTGTTGGATTGCTTCTTCTGTCATTATGTAGTGTCCTTCTTTGTCTCTTACTATAGCCTTGGTTTTAAAGTCTATTTTGTCAGTTAAGAGTATTGCTATTCAAGCTTTTTTAAATTTTCTTCCCTTTACTTTAGTCTTTGTGTATCTTTCATTCTGAGGTGGATCTCTTGTAGACAGCACATATATGGATATTGTTATTTTATCCATTAAGCTACCCTATGCCTTTTGATTGGAACATTTAAGCCATTTACACTGAAAGTGATTACTGATCAACAAAAC